GCCGCGCCGCGGCCTGCTCGCTGCTCGGGGCCTGCCCGCCGTACCGGGGCCTGCCCGCCGCGCCGGGGCCTGCCCGCTCCCCGGGCCGGGCTCGGGCAGCCGCAGCCGCTGGACGAAGCGCTTGGCCCGGGCACGGGCTGGTGCCGGTCCCGCTGCCGCCCCTTGCTGGTGACCCGGGGCCCGCGCTCGGTTCTCCCCCAGCCCCGGTATCCGCTGCCCCGCCGCAGCCCCGCGCCAGGCCTCGGTCCCGCTGGACGGGGAGCCCCGGCAGGAGCGCAGCGGGTCCCCCCCGCAGCGGGTCCCCGCGGTGACGCGTGGTCCCGGTTTCACTTCACGTCCCGCTGCGGGTGACGGAGCGGCTCACGAGGGCACCGAAACCGCCGCGCTTAAAATAGACCGCCGAGAAAATCCCCTCGATTATATTTAGGCGCAGATTTTTAAGCAGAAAAGGTTGGAGCTGGTTCCTCCTAGTTCTGTTTTCTCTTTCAGGTTAATACGTGGGGAGGGTTTCCCCTGTGCCGACGCTTTCGGCTTCTCCGAAAGCTGCTCTGCTCTGCATGGAATTTTGGTCATTTCCTCCTCACGGGGCCGGTTTTGCGCGTGCCCTTGCAGGGGCCGCGCGGCCCTCGCGCTGCTTCGGGGCAGGGCTGCTGCAGAGGCTGTTGCTATGGCTAGCACAAAGCAGTGATTTACTGGGGCATGATGAACTGCTTAGGCGTTCCGTGGTTAAGGCTCAGTATTCTGGTGCTGCATTGCAGGCTGGATGTTCGTGGCTATGGGCTTTATCTGAGAGGCGGTGGGGAGCCCCGGCACGTGTGGATGAGCGCACGGTCAGGGTGCGGTGTTGATGGGGCGGCTGCAGCCGCGCTGGTGCCGCGGCCGGCCCCGCGGCGTGCCCTGCGGCGCCTCCTGCTCCTGCTTTCCTGCCCCTGGCCGGGACGGAGCTGCCGGCTGGCGTGGCAGGGCCTGTGGTGGCTCCCAGAGCCCGTGTGGTTAACTGGCTGGTTTGACTGGTGGAGTCAGACGGAGGCTCTTTATCCACCGTTCCTGACTAGTCATGCTCATGCCGCGTGTAGCTTGCAGGCGTTCTGTAGCGGGAGTGGTTGCAGGGAGCAGACTTTGTGGCCCGCGATGGCCGCGCGAGCCCCCGCGCGTCCCCAAGGGGCTGAGCTGCCCTCGCGGCCGGTTCGTGCAGCCACGGAGCCGCCCCGGCTGCCGCGCGCCTCCGCAGGCTCGCACGTGGCCGGGGGCCAGCAGCGCTGCAGGGAAGTGCTTTATGTATCCGCTCGTATGTACATTGAAACATCTGTGCTTCTTTCCCTAGTTCTTAGCAGCCCGTCCTGGTAAACTGCATAGCTTACGGTTGTCAGCCCCGAGGCTGGCCCACGTGATCTGCTGAAAAAGCCCATCCTAGGAATTCTTGCACAAACTGACTCAGTTTGTTGCGATGAATAGGCTGTGAGAAACTAGTGGATTTTCCGGGAAATGCAACTGCAAGCTGTCTGGCTTCTGCGTAGGGTGTTCGGAAATCTTGTGAAGATCCAGTGTTTTATCATGAAACAAACGAGTGAAATCATCTTCCTGGAATCTGTGGTCACTTGGGCTTTGGATTGTGGTAAAACCTAAAAGTTCCTTGTAACAAATTCTGGTAAAGGCCGTAATCAAGTTTCCTCTTGGTATGTGGTCAATGCAGACTGCGTCAGGAGGGCGCCCAAGACGGGACGCGCTCGCAGGGCACTGCTCCCTGGCTTCTGCCCGCTGGAATTGTGAGCCCGTGAGCAGGAGCTGCCCACGTGAACGGCCTTCTCTCGGGGCCGGGGAGGAGGCTTGGCCCCTTCTCTTCCATTCCTGGATCTCGTGGGACTCCCGCTGCTAATTGCGCTGCGCTGTGGTTTTGTCATGTGGACGAGCGCTGCCAAGGGCTGCGCACGACTCGGAGCTCGTGCAGAGCGCGAAGCCTCCCGCGAGGAGGGGCTGCCCTCGCCTTCTTGTCAGCCCCCCGGGCAGTCGGTTACCCTGAGCGCCAAGTTGCTTCTTCCCCAAATGACTTCAAAGCAGTTAAATCTGTTCTGAAATTTCCTTTTGAAGAACGAGCTTCCTGCTGTTGCGCTTACAGTGACCTAGTAGCTGGTGAGCGAGATGCCGACATTCCCCTGGGGTGCTGAGCAGCCTCTGGTGCCCCCGGTGCTGGCGCCCGCACCCGCTGTGGACCTGGCTGCTCTGCTGGCGCTTGCCTTTGGCCACTGCTCGCCTTCTCAGTCGTACCCGGGTGCGTTTCGGAGGTTGAGTTTCTTGTTTCATTAAGGCACTTTTAGAGTTGTATGATTTTATTTTGTCTTTAAAGTGTCTTTACCTGAAATGAGAGCAAGCGTCTTGAGCGCAGCCGAAGGCTGTTAGAAATGAGAGTGGCTGCTGACCTTGGCAAAACTGGTGCGCGAGAGAGACAGTTAGGAAGCGACTGGACGCAGGAAGAGCTCATACAACAGCAGCACCAAACATCTGATCTGTGGTTAATCAGAGAGTTAACGTCCTCCGTTCCTGCGGCCTCTAGCTCGTTTCCTCCCCAGTTTTCCTGCTCTGTTGAAAGAGCCATATTTGCTGCCCTCTCCTTCCATTGCGGAGGGTATGCGGTGATGTAAATTGGGTTCTCCCACCTTTGGCTTTGCTTTTCTGGGTTTGGCTTTTGAGACTTTTGTGGGGATTATTGCAGGGGAAAGGCGTTCTGGCCGCTGCGGCTCCCTGGGGTGTCAGCCCCGTTGGAGCTGCATTTGGCGTTTGTACGTGCTGTGGGTTGCGGGAAGCTCCGGCTCCTCACAGCATTGCTCCGGCTCTTTCCACAGCTCGTCATGGCTGCTCCTAGCCCCTTTGCTCACCTCTCCCGCTCCTGTGGTCACAGCACCCCCCTGCTCCCTGTGTCCCGAAGGAGCACACAGGTTCCAGTGGATCAGGAATCTGGTTCCGGAATTCGGCATCTCCAGCTCTCACGTGAAGGTCCTTTCGTCCCCGGCTGAATTCTACGAACTCCTGAAGGCGAGTGGTGTTTGGAGCAGGATTGTGCCACGGGACGTGGCCTTGCAGGATGCGGGCAGGATGGCAGCCACGGGCACCTGGAGGTCGCTGCTCCCCTTCCACTGGAGGGGTCTGTGGGCACCAGCCGGGCTGAGCCCGGGAAACCTCCGCGAGGGCAGAGCCTGTGCGGGCGCCCGTTGTGCGGCTGCACCACCTCTGAAATAACAGCAGGCTCTCCGGGAGCGCCGAGCTGCCTTTCCCGCAGCACATTCCGTGCTGCCGCTCAGCTGGCACTCGCAAGGAGAGCTCGGCTCTGCCCTTGCTCTGCTCTTGGGCTGGCAGCACAGCAAGAGGCTCCCTTGCTGCGGCCTCGGTGCTTGGCTCTGCTCTTGTGCTCTTCGAGTGAATGTGGCTTGAGGTGGGGGGGCTGTTCTGTTTGCCTGAAGAGATCCTGCTCGGGGCACCTGCGGGATCCATTCTGCATTGTTTCGTGAGCTGCTCGTGCTTGCAGAGACCAAGGCTCAACCTGAATTTACTTTCTGTTGATTCCAGGCGCAGATAAAAACAGCCAAGCAGCGAGTAGTGATGGCTTCATTGTACCTGGGAACGGGGCTCCTCGAACAGGAGCTGGTGAGTGTGGAAAGGGATCGGGAAGCAGAAAAAGGGAATACACAAAACACCTGCCTCTGCAAAAACCATCCTGTTCCTGCAGGTACAGGAGAGCAGTGTGAGGTGCAGTTTGCAAGCTTGTAAGACTTCCGTATATGGAGTCTCCTGGTTTGACTTTCTGCTGTCCTTTGAAGTTACTCTCTTGGTTCCTGGCTCTATTCTTGTATTTGAGGCTTGGTGTGAAGCAAGGGGAGGAATTTGAAAGGGAGACGGACAGAGTTTTTACCATAAACTCAGTACAAAACTATGGAAGCACTGAACATTTTCACAGGATAATGAGCCTGGATCCTGCCGGCTGTTAGGAGTCACTGACATAGTGTTCTGAGAGTCTTGCAGGGGTGTGAGAACGCTGATTATTTTGTTTTATCCTGGCATTTTTCCTTGAACATGATTACAGTTGTAGTATGCTGTGCTGTTGTTTATCCTGCAAATACTGTATGTGGATGCAGTACCAGCTCTGCATTTAAGGCAGAGGTCAGTTTTGCCTCATATCATTTACCTTTTTATTCATTTCCTGTCTTTCTCTCTAGAAACAAAAGCATAAGTCTGACCTTGGACAAATTTGTATGTAAGAATGCAAATTCCAAACCAAGGTCAAGATGGACAGAGTTCTCTGGCCTAGCCTGGGCTTGGACACAGGATTTAAGTTTTCATGTTGCCACCAGGCTCATCATGAAGGAATAAAACTGCCTCTGCATCTTTTGTGAGCTCCTACCAAGCTTTCTGTTTGATAATGGAAGCCTGTGATTTTTGCAATGATGCTGGGGCTCTTTTTCCTGCTAAAATTAATTGCTATTCAGAGGCTTGAAGATTGCTGTATGTGTTTATGAAATGAATGCCCTTTATTTTTGCTTTGAGCTGTTAGGATGCCAGTGCAAAAAATGCCAAGTGTGAGCTAGCACATCTGTGTGACTGGAAAAGTTTCCAAAGCCCGGTATAACTATCGTGGCCCCAGGCCACCTGTTTCCCAGTGCTTGCCCTGTAAAGCGTTATTTGCTCTTCCTTTACTGAGTAGCACGACCTCTGTGCAGGTGGATTGCTTAGAGGAAGCGCTGGAGAAATCGCTGCGAGCAAAAGGGTCCTCTGACCTCCGAGTGTCCATTCTTCTGGACTTCACCAGGGGCTCTCGGGGTACGTGCTGCGGTGCTTCTGCTGCTTCAGATGCTTATTCTTGCCGTCGGGCTGGGTATAGATGGTCAGAGCTGGAAGATCACTGGGCCCAGCTCTGCCGTGTCCCCAGTGCCTTTTGCTTGCGCAGGTCTCCTGCCAGTAGTGCACATGCCCTTATGGTTGTGCACTTTTACGTTCTTTTTTTTGCGCTAAAGGAAGGTGGGAAGTGGTGGAAATAGCAGTACACTTAACCTGAAACTTCTGTGGTGACTCTGTAGCGTGTTACTAGTGCTGTGTGTGACCTGCTTGACTTGAATGGTGTCAGTCCTGCCCAGTAATCGTTTCCAAGGCCCATTCATCAATGAACTTGGGGTAGATTTTAATAGTAACACAATTGCAAATGAAAGCAATTAAAAGTGTAAAGTGCTAGCAAATGAGGCAGGAGCTCATTGTGAAAGAGGCTCTGTCCCACGTCTGTGGTCCCGTCTGAATCGCAGCTCTCTCCCAGGCAGGAGGAATTCTCGCACGATGCTGACCCCGCTGCTGCAGCGATTCCCTCACCACGTCCGTGTGTCCCTCTTCCACACTCCAAACCTGCGGGGACTGCTCAGGCTGCTGATTCCAGAGCGTTTTAATGAGACCATTGGGCTGCAGCACATCAAGGTCTATCTGTTTGATGATAATGTGATCCTCAGTGGGTAAGTCTTGCCTCTTTAGGCTTTTCTGTGATTAATTTAGCTGAGGTTTTGATGCAAGATATGCGTGCTGCTGATTTTGTCTGCTTTTCATTGTTTGCCTCTGGTCTTGCCGTGGGGCAAGGATAGTGATCCTATCAGGGATTCTGGTAAGTGTCCTGGTGTCAAGATTCAAACGGAAATGGGCACTTTGTACTTTGGTCTTGTGTGGGGAGCGATACCAGTACAATGGGCTGGGGCTCTCGGGATCCCATTGCCTACACTCTGCCCAGGAACTCAGCTCTTTTTTTGTTCTCTCTTCTAGTGCAAACCTCAGTGATTTATACTTCACCAATCGTCAGGATCGCTATGTTCTCCTGCAGGACTCCCCTGAGATTGCAGACTTCTTCACGGAACTAGTGGATGCAATTGGAGATGTGTCTCTGCAATTGCAGCACGATGATACGGTCCAGATGATGGAGGGGATGGTGCATCCGTACCAAGGTGGGAGTGAGTCTCCTTATCTGGTCCCATGATAAAAACCAGAGTAGGGGAATGACAACAGGAGTGTTCTTAAGGATAACTGCAACTCCCTCCACTTTAAGCTGCTGAATGCTTGACTGTTGATAACTGGCTGTGGTGAGACCTGTTTCTATGCCATCCACTATTAAAAACAGGATTACTTGGGTTTTGAGACTGAATCTGTCTGTGTCTTCCTTGCACAGTGGCTGTCACCAGCTAATCTAATGGAAAATACAAAGCACAGAAGTTCCTCCACCACCTTCTGACTGCTGTTTCTTCTTTCTGCTATTTACATTCCAATGAGAATGTACATATCTTGCAAGGCTCTTACCTAGTTTTTAATTGCTGAAGTCTATAATTCTAGATGTTCTGTATGTTCATGTTCTGAAAGTTTCATGAATGCACTGCTATTTCTGGTAATTAGTGCTTAGTAGTTGAGTCTGTTCTGGGAATTCAAATGAATATTGAATTAGGAGACTGAGGACAGGGGTTAAAGCGGCAGAGAGGGGGATCTCTGGCAAGTCGGTTGCGTCACAGCAGGTTTTGTCCTTGCTCGTGCTACATTCCAGTTCATTCCTGAAATGTGGAGTTTTCAAGGGTCGCAGTTTGACCTCGGCCTGGATCTTTGCATTCTCAGTGGATTTTGGAAGTTGCTGCTAGTCACATTTTTTTACCCTTCTCAAAATTGATGTTCCTCTGTCGTGGCTTGTTGATTTTTGGAACATGAGTTTTTGAAACTTAGGAAAAAGTGGTGTGATCTTTGTATGAGCTGCTTTTTATTGTGATATTGATGTCCTCGTAGTAGTTTTTCTTGCTGCCTGTACTCTATGAAGGTCTGTACCTTGACAGCAGTCTTTCGTGCTTCTCCTGCAGGGGACAAGACAGCTTATTGCGAGATAGCAAATCAGAAGGTCATGGGAGTGATCAACTCTGCCAGGACACGCCAGGAACTCCTCCATGCAAAGACTTTGCACAGCAGCCAGGAAGGCAGCCGTTTGTTCTCCCAGCAAGACTCTCGAGCATCTGGGGATCAAAAACCAGAACCTGACACCTGGATTTATCCCTTAATCCAAATGAAACCCTTTGGGATCCAAATAGATGAAATGGTCACAGAGACACTGCTGACAGAGGCTGAACGGGGCGCCAGGATTTATCTTACCACTGGCTACTTCAACCTGACACAAGCTTATATGGACCTCATTCTAGGCACTAGGGCTGAGTATCGGATTCTTCTGGCCTCACCAGAGGTGAATGGTTTTTTTGGTGCCAAAGGGGTGGCAGGTGCCATTCCTGCAGCCTATGTTTACATTGAACATCAATTTTACAGTGAGGTCTGCTGCCTTCACCAGCAGGAGAGGGTTCAGCTGCAGGAGTACTCCAGGCCTGGGTGGACTTTCCATGCTAAAGGTAAGATGGCCTGTCCCAAGGGGACTGGTTTGGAGAGCGTTTGTGCTTTTACACGTGTTTGATTGTGAAATGGGCAATGGGAAGCCTGGGGACTGAGCCTAGATTTAACTTCCCAAATACTCACCCAAAATTCAAAGCACTTGGCTTGCATAAATCTGGAAGATTTGTATTACTCAGTGGGCAGCTGTTCCAAGTGCTCTCTTGCGTCTGGATTTGTGATTCAAATGGAATCCCAGGGATTATGTGAAGAGAGTCCCTAAGACACTGTCGGCTAACAGTTCTGACAAGTCAGTTTGGAAAGAATCTGAGCAAAAGCTGAGCTCTCCTCTGGCTTGAAATAGCCTCATCTTGTGCCATATTATGCAAGGTGTTTTAACCAAATTGCTTTATCCCTCTGCTTAATGCTGGGAAGAGGAAATGCCTCGATGTGAAAGAGGAGGAGGCATCATCTGGTCAGGCTGATGACAGCAGTAGCAGTTGTGATTCAGTTTCTCAGTTTCCTGTGTTTCACTCACAAGTTCCTTCAACGAGAAGTGGCAGCTCAGGGTGAGACACTAGCGCAGGAGCTGCAGCTGGAGCAGTTCGTTGGTCCTGACTCCCCAGTGTTCCTGGTTCTGCTGCCTCTGGGGATGATCCAGGTGTTGAGGGGTTTGTACCAACTTCTGTTGCTGTGTGCAGGAAAGTTCAGCATAGTGAATAAAAGCACTCAGGTGTCTTCTGAGAGGCAGAAGCAGCCTGGAGGGGTCTCTGTAGAAGACCCCAGACTCTTCTTGCTTAGCTTGACTTCCACAACATTGCTGCGACCCAGGCATGGGTCTGTTCCCCTCACTGCTCGTTGTCCCTTCTCTTTCCTTCCAGATAACTCAACTCTCACTCTTCATACTTTCTACCCAATAGCAAATATTTGATTACTTGATCATTGGCTTTAATGATGAGAATAGTTTAGGAAATCAGCCTAGGTAAGTCTGATGCCTATGGCTGTGAGCTCACACCTCTATATATGTTTAGATTCCTGCAGTCCTCACAGTAGCCGGGGCACCTGTCCTGCAGTGCGAGCATGGGCTGAGCGCAGCCTTTCTGGCCCTGTTCCCCGGCATGTGCCCTCTCCCTGGTCTGCTGGAACCTCCTGCTGGGCTTGCTGGCCCCAGGACCGTGTGGCGGCCGTGGCTGTTGTCACCCCCATGGCACTAGTCGCTGTGCTGCTTGCAGGGTCCGAGGGGCACTGTCGTTGTGTGCAGTTAGAGCAGCGGCGGACGCGACCCCTGCGCCAGCGCCACTTTGTCCAGAGGCTGTGGCCCGCAGTTCTTCTCAGTTTGTTTGTTTGAGGATATTAGCTGTTAATGATTGTGGGAATGCCTCAGCGCAGCCTGCTTCCTGCAGGGCGCTCCAAGGGGGTTCAGCGGGCTGAGCAGGCCTCCCTGGGCTAGAGGAAATCAGCGTCGGTTTGTGGAGCGCTCCGGCTGCAGGGCTTCTCGACAGGCCCCGCGCTGTCGGTAACTCTGTAGGAGCAGTAAAATCCTTATCTGGGTGCAGAGGTGCCTCTGAGGAGGCGCCGGGCTGGAAGCGGCTGTGATTTGTGTTCCAGGAAGCGCCCGCTCTGTGGTTTGCAGGTTCCTCTCTTGCTGGGCACCGCTGACTCGCAGTGGGAATTGGTGGTTTGGCTCGGGCTGGCCTGGGAGGCAGCACCTCAGCCCCGCGCTCGAGCCTTGGCCATCGGAGGGAGCAATAGCCGCCTGTCCTGGAGCGCCCGGTGCAGGGACACAGGGTTGGGGGCTGCTGTCCTCCTGGCCCCCACTCCTTGGAGTGTCGGGGGATTGGCTTCGAGCTCCCTTCTGATGCACTTGTCCTCTGGGATGCTTCCTTCATCACACATCCTTTTACAGGAGATTGCAGCACATGTGAGACGGGATGTGGTGGGGGGGAAAAGGAGAAAGCTTAGGGACAGATGGAGGGGGGCTGGACACGAAGTCCACCCTCGCAGGGCCCGCGCGGTCCTTAGCAGCAAGCGGTGCACGGACTGGCTGCTCGTGGGCTCGCACACCGCCAGCCTCCTGCGTGGCCTGGCTCGTGGACCCAGGCCCCGACGCTGCGTGCGGCCCCGCGGGCACCTCTGAGGGTGCAGGAGAGCCCCGTGCGCCGTGCGGAGCGTCCTGCTAGGCGGACCCGTGCTTGCCCTGCTCAGTGAGTGCCCGGCGGGACGTGGTGCAGCCCTCACGCTGGCCCTGCTCGCGCGGGTATATCCCACGAGACAGGGACCCTCCCGTGCTGGTATCGGGTGACAGAATGCCACGCAGGTGGCTGTTTGCTCTGAGATAAACCTACATTACTGCTATTGAGTGGTGGCTGGGAAGTGGCACTTCCCTTTCTGGAAAGGTGAGTCAGTGTTTGAGCAAGTGCCTCCAGGTGGCCATAAAGCCAAGAGCAGGGGAAGGACGAGGGCCCTGCATCCGTGTGGGAAGCGGCAGGGAGCCTGTTCCCGGGCAGGCCTGTCCCGGCTCCGGGAGATGCCGGCATTCCCGCGCCGCCTGCGGAGCGGCCCTTCCTTGGGCTGCCGTGTGGGGCGAGAGGCAGAAGGCGGCGGCGCGGGCGGCACGGAGCTGTGGGGGCGGGCGGAGGTTACAGGAACCGCCGCTGAATCGGCAGCCTCTTACTCAAGGCGTTCTTGGAAGCGCTCCGGGGCTGGGTTAGGAAACCTGCTGCTATTTTCAGGCCTAGGTGTTTTTTGTGCTGCAGTTCCTTTGTTGTAGCCTTCGTGCGACTCGCAGCAGGGCTGAGCCGGGTGCCGTCCGCCCAGGGGACCCTCCTGCCGCTGCCGTCCCTGCTGTGTCACACGGGCCTCGAGCTGCTGCTTCGGGGCCTTGTGAGGTGCTGGGGCCACGTGCCCGCCCTTGCTCCGTGTGCATGAATTGCAGCCTCGCGGGCAGCCAGGCGGGCAACGGGGACTTGCTGCCTCGAGCGGCGCAGTAGCCCCTGCCAGGCGGGAGAGGCCTCCTCGTGCCGCTGCCTCCAGCCCTCTTGGGGAAGGGACCGGGCGCCCCTGCTGCTTCAGCTCGGGCTGGGCCGCTCCTCACTGCTCCCCTGCTCTTGTCCAGGGTAGGTTTTGTCCACCTTGCTGCAGAATAGCCCACAACTTGGTCTGGTTTCAGTGTTTCTGAGATGTCCTGGTGCCAAATGACCTCTGCCTTGAGGATGATGGTGACTTGCTCTGCTTTGTCTTTGGGGACGGCTGTGCGGTGCAGAACGTGCCCCGGTGGTGCTGAGCGTGTTGCCAGCCCTGGCACGGCGCACCGGAGCCGGGCATACGTGTTGCTGACGGCTCCCTTTGTCACCTTCCTTCACGGTTACTGTAAACCCTCCCTTCATTTCTTCCAACAAGAGCAATTGTTTGTGCCCCCCAGGCGTTTCCTTTGCTGCGGCACTTCCTCTCTTCTCCCGTTTTTCCTGCAGGCCTCTGGCTCTACCTGGCGGGGAGCAATCTTCCCTGCCTCACCCTGATCGGCTCTCCCAATTTTGGCTATCGCTCCGTTCATCGTGACCTGGAAGCGCAGGTTGCAATAGTGACAGAAAACCAAGCTCTGCAGCAGCAGCTCCACGAGGTGAGTGGCCGGGAAGGTGGCGACGGGCTGCACGCTGTGCTCGCTCGCGTGAGGGATGGCCATGATGCAGCGGCAATAAAAACCTACAGCTACGATAATTCAAAGCCTTCTCCAGCATAGGAAGCCTCAAGGAGCTGTCAGTTAAGTGACTATTGATGAGCTGCCTGCTGCGAGTGCCTGTTTCTGGGAAGCAGAGGCCATAACGGGAAGGAACACGTGTCCCCGGTGCACCCGGTGCGGGGTGCCCTGCGTGTGCAGGGCGCTTGGCTCCGCGGCGCAGCCCCGGCACGCGGCGTGGCCGCTCACTGCTTTAATGCTGTAGACATTCCAGCTTGTCAGTGTTCGTTATTATTAGTACTGGGCAGCGCTCTAGCTGCCTCCGTAAATCCTGACCGCTGCTCCACTCCGAATGCTCTTCTGGAATTGCCGTCATCCCAATAGCTCCTCGCGCAGTATGCGGTGCAAAGCAAAGTGCTTTGATGCTCACGTCTGTGATTAAGAATCTGAAAAATGCGTTGTGTTAGACCGAGTCCTGGCACAGGGAGCCTCAGTTGTCTTCAAGATCAATGGGAATTGCCCTGTTGCATCAGGGCTCTTCCACTGAATGAGTCAGACCATATCTTATCAAAAACAATTCTATTACTGGAAGAATTGCTTGAATATTGCAATTCATATCTTGCCTCTGCTTGTTTCTAATGGAAGGGGAGAATCAATGAAAATATGACAGAGGAATTTTGTCCAGTAGTCCTGGAGTGATGTAAATGAAAGGACTTTAAACTGTTGTGTTTGCTGGAAGCTGCCTCTGAGGGTGCCTATCTTTTTACTACTTTGTGATCTTAGTTCAGAAAATGTCATTTTCTACCAGGGTAGTGAAGCCTCCACGAGAGCCGCGTGTTTCCTTCTGCAGGCAGCCTGGCACCCGTCTGGCCGTGCAGCCGGAATGTCCTTTCAGCCCTATAAACTGCTTAAACATTCAGGTTTTTCCAGTGGTCAGATTCCAAAGAATCACGACATATAAGAGGACGTTCTGAGCTTTTATTTTTCTTCTCTTTCAACTTCTACCTCTGCTCAAACAGCTGCCTTCACGTGCTGAGCGAACATGTATTACCATTATGATGGTTCATTTCCTACTTCAGCAGTAATTGTGTATGCGCTGAGGAAGCCTAAGTGTTTCTGGTAATTTAGTTGAAATCATGACTGCACATTCATTTGAAAACAGAGCGCTTGAGCTGTGTCTAGAAAGAGCAGCGTAAACCAGTCTCTGGAGATTAAGATAAGGTTTCCTTTGCCGGCAATTGCACCTAGGGATTTGGGATTTTTCTGAAGCTCCAGTTTAGCTCTAATTTATGCAGAGCAGGAAAGAGGCAGAATTGTCCACCTTGGCACCCGTGGAGTTTAGCTTGCGGGTTTCCCGGGGCCCGTGATGCAGGGACGGTCACTAAGGGCACAGGCAGCAGCAGCTGCTGGGAGGGACGCAGGACCCGGGGCCACTTTTATCCGGGTTTGCCTCCTCTAGAGGCCGTTGGGTTAGAGAGGATGTCAGCTGAGGTCTCCGCACTTACTGGGAGGGTGTTTCTTTCCTTTGCAGGAGCAGGAGCAGCTTTACCTCCGCTCGGGCACGGTGTCGTCGTCAACCTTCGAGCAGCCGAGTCGTTATGTGAAACTGTGGGTGAAGCTGGTGACACCTCTGATTAAGAATTTCTTTTGAAAGAAGAAATGCTACGGATTTGGGTGAGTGGCTTGCTTTTTTTTTTTTTTTTTTTTAAATGGGGAACCTGTCACTTGAAATAGTCATTGCTTGAGCTCTGTCTTGGTCTTAGTCTGCTAACATTTCTGGAAAGGGCAATGACAGAACAAATACAGGGTATTTCTCATGTATAGAAGTAAAACTTCCACTTTTAAAATGTCCCTTTCAAAATGTTGAGGAAAGAGGCGGTGTATATTTTATCTTGACCAGCTAATGGAAAATCCTGTGTGAGGGACACAGCAGGAAGTCTTCACCTTAGCAGTGCAAGCTGGGCCTCACCATGTGCTCCTCGTTTGGTGGTGCACCCGAGGAGCTTTGCTTTACCTCGCGAGTGCTGCTCGCCGGTTAGCGGGGCAGCTCCCTGTGGCACTGCCAGCTCTGCGGCTCTGCTCCCAGCAAGGCCCCGGCCCCGGAGCCCCCGGCTGCTCCTCACCGAGGTTGAGGAGCTCCTGGTGCCAATGGGGTTTTGGTGCTGGCTGAAAGTGGGAAGCCCAGCCCATAAAGTGTGTCCTGAACAAGCTGGGTGGGAGGCTGAGTCCCGAGTGGGTGAGAGCACAAGCTTTGGCTGCCTGCGAGGTTTTGCTGTTGGAATAGGTGTAATGTGTTTTGATCTTTTATTGCCACAATTGGGATTTTTGGGGCTTGAAAAGGCTGAAGGTAAGTGTAGGGCCTGATGGAGATTCATTCAAAATGGCACTGCCTTGGGAAGAAACAAGCAGCTCTACCTGCTTCTGGATTTTTGTTTGTTTGCTTTGCTATTAGCAGAAGCTCCCAGCAGCAATCAGGGCAGCTTGGTGCCATTGGCTGTTTTAGAACTGAATGTTCACGGGCTTTATGGTATGGGAGGATTTTAGAGAATTATTTAATGCAAATGGGATAGTCATTGGCTGCCATATGGTGGCAGAGCAGCTCTAATGTCCCTTGAGTTGGTTCTTCTGGTTTGAGAGAGAGAAAAAACGTATGTGGGGGCGGGTAATGTAGGGTTCAAATCTAGCAGTGGGAGGAATCCTACACGTCAGCCTTGAGCTGAGTCAGCTGTGAGCGGGTGCATCCCCAATGAGGAAGAACCCTTGTCTGTGTGGGAGAAAGGTGAGTGCTACAAGGTTCATAAAGCCGACCTTGCATCTGCTTCTGTGCAGTAGAGGTGCTGGTTGTGCTCCTGTTCCTTCCTTGTCTGGTGGTAGCACCTGGATATTTCCATGCAGGAAGGTTTAGTGTGCGCGTGGCCGTGGATTCCTGCTCAAGGCTGGCACTGAGTGGCCAGACACGCAGCTGTGAGGAGGCAGCGCTGCGAAGGAGAGGAAGGCACATGGCTGCATGCAGACGCTCGGTTCCGCTCCCTTTAGTGCCTGGCCCCGGACCTGCCCGTAACCATACAGCACCAGTTGAGAATAGCGTCCGTCGTGAGAAGCTCCGCGCGCCCTCGGAGGCTCCCCATCGATGAGCAGTCCCACCACTGGCTTTACTGGTGCTTTGCTAAAGTAGTTCTGGGACACACAGACTTGGGCTAAGGAAAACAACTTTATTTCTTGGGGCAAGTAAAAGCAGCTGGTGTTTTCCATAGCCACTGAAGCCTAGATCTGTAGGAGAAGAGCAACAGCAGCAAGAATCCACTTAGCTGCCTTTTCTTTTGTCTTCAGGTTAAAGGTCCAGACATAGGTGGGACCTCGCATCCGAGTCTTGTAGACAGGACACTCATAGATGTTCTTGGTGTCCATACGGTCCACAGGGATGGCTCTGATGAAGATGACGGGCATCATAGGCGTCAGCTCCTTCAGCCTCGCATCCGCAATGACTCCAGAGGGGACGTCCCAGCGCGCGCCTGCAGCGGGTGGAATTGCCAGGGCAGCAGCTGCCCCGCGGCGGGAGCTGCTGCAGGCGGGAGCTGCTGTGCAGGCTGAGCTGCGTGACCCGCCTCGCCTGGCCTCAGTGCTCTGCAGGGCTCATGGTTAGCATCTCACTGTGACTCATGCTGCATTTTGCCTTACTGAGAGGGGGGTAGATAAAGGAGTCCTGCTGCTGCCCCCCGCTCCTGCCCCTGCTTGCATGGAAGTTGTGCAGCCAAGGGTGGGATTTGGCCGCCCTGGGAACTGCCCTGGTCTCTGCTCGTACTTTATCTGCACCCTGCTGGGGCTCTGTCGCATTTCTCCCTTTTTTTTGTTCTGTTTTAACAGGAATTATTTGGGGTTTAAGTTTTCTGATTTCTCTTATTCACGCATCAAATAAAAGCATATCTGTTCACCGTTGTGTGTCCTACAACCAACCCCGTGGTCGGCTCCATCGCTGCGCTGCGCGTTCCCGCAGGCGGTGCCGGCGTTGCGGCGGTGCCCGGTGCTGCCCTCCGGCGGGAGCCAGGGCTCCTGCACCCCCTGCACCCCAAAGCAGCCCCGGCCCCCACGGAGGGGCTGCCCTGGGCGCCCCGTGCTTGGTGCTGCGACTCCAGCCTCCCACATGGGCCAAGTTGTAGCTCAGGTAGAGATCAGCCAAGAGGGAAGGAGGGGAGAGGGAGGGACCAGAGCAGACCTTTCCTTGTGGAAAAAACTCATCCAGAAACAAGGGAAGAGCTTAAGCCACTGCCTTGCTAAGGACAGGAAGTGATAAATTCAGGGTCTAATAGTTTTAAAAGTGGGCCCATTAATTGGAGCTTTTGCTGATTCTGTATAAATCCTAATTTAGTAAGTTGGTCACTATTGATGCTTGCTCAATTTACAAGATTTTAAGGCCAAACTGCACTTTTTGTGCCTGAAGCATCTCCTACAAGCTGCAGTCTTTACCTTCCATGAATAAGCCGTGCACGTAGGAGCCTTCGCGGGGGGGAGCTGTCATATCCTCGCGGTTTTTCTTGGTTACTTCCACGGAAAGACACATCTTGTCCAGGGGCCACTCATTTTTTCTCGCCATCGACTGCATGATAGCGGTGAGGAAAGACTGGGGGTTGAAGAAGCCGGCAAGCCACACGGTCGCGGGCAGCACGAAGTCCGTGGTCCAGACCTCGAGCTCCTGCAAGGCAGAAGGGCAGAGCTCCTGGGGGCGCAGCGGGGTGTGACAAAGGGCTCTTGTTTCCCCTGGCTTTGGGAGCTGCCAGCTGGGCAGACCCCGAATGTCCCTTGTGACAGTGTCAGGCTGCAGCCCTGCGCTGCAGCTGTCGCTTTGGATTGCCCTAAATACTGCTCTTATGTTTTAACAGGGCCGCTTTAAATACAGGGCTTGAATAAATGTCCTCTTTTCTGAGACATTTAAAGTTATGCTTAGATTATCTGGATGTTCTTTTGAAATGGCCATTTACTCTAAGGGTGAACCCTTCTTTTCACACTCCTGCTTTTGTCCTTGTGGTAACAGGTCCTTTCAAGTACTTAAGCTTGAAAAATAAAGCAGTTAGTGGAGCACTCTACACTGTGGGGCGGTTCCTGCTCTTCCGCGGCCTCTGCCACCTGCCTGAGCTTTAACTCAGCCCCCGATGAGCTCACCCTAATGCGGAGCAGCAGGTCTGTGTACCAGGCGCCGAGGCTGAGGAGAGAGGGGTATGCGAAGTGTGTCCAGGACTCGGGCACGCTGTCGTAGAAGAGCGCGTTGGCCAGCTCCTCCATGTCCGACGTGATGGTCAGCTCGCCCTGCGGAGAGGAGGGCGCCCGAGCCCTGCTCACCAACGCGGCTTCCAGCGGCGGCAGGAGCCGCTGCCGGGGCACGACACGGCGCCTGGAGGGAAGAGGGGCCCGCGGAGCACCCACCTTCAGGCCCAGGTTCAGCTCTTTCAGAGAGCGCCTGATCTCGTTGGTCAAGATGTTCATCCTTTCGCACTCCTGGAAGGCGACCACAACGTAGGGCGTCTTATCCACTGCCTTTGCCATGATCTCTGCTATGTTGAATGGCTCTGGTAGCTTCTCGATGATCTCGTCCAGGGCTGCCTTCACCTGCAGGAAACGCCCCGTGAAGCTGCTCTCTCCTCGGAGCGGTTAACTTAGCAGGATAGATTTTTTTCCTGCCTTCCCTGTTTCCTTCTTCCTTTACTAGTACTGCTCATTTCTTTTACTGAGTGCTCTAAGAGCTTAAAAAGCTGCAGCGCTGCTGCCAGCCAGGAGGATAGGGACTGAAGGATGGAATTTGAGTGTAAAATGCATGGTGTCGTGAGCAGGAACGGGGCTTGCTCGGCCTTGGGAGCTGTCAGCAGCCCCGTGCGAGGCCGTTCAGCCTCAGAGCAGCGATGGGCTGGTGTGGTTTCACAAGAAGGGGATGTTTGCTAGTGTTTAATTATACTAATGAGAACAAAGCTGGCAAAGCAGCTCAAATGTAAAGCCATGACTACCTTCTCCTCGCGGGAAACGCCCGCGCCGCCGCCTGTGTCCGATTCTTTGGGCTGCATTTCCAGAACTGTGCGGAACAGCTTGTCCGAGGTGATGGTCAGGAAGCCGATTTCTGCGTTGGGGTGGAGGCCGTACAGGTAGGGGCTCTCGGGTGGCAGGTTCTCGTCGATGTATTCGTGGTACCCCTAAGCACGGGACGGACGCGATGCTCACGCAGGGCAGCCGTGTCTGCCTTGCACAGCTAGCTCACCCTGCGTAGGCTTTTTGCTCCTGCTTACCCACTTACCACCCAGCCACAGGAGTTATAGTCCCGTGAGTGTTTCGTACCTTGAGGCCAGTGGGAATTGGCACAGTGAGTCCATTGCCAGTGGGCTGGAACAGTCCCACTGCTGTCCTGCACCTCTGGGTTTGTGCCGGGGCCCCTCTCTAGCGCTCTCCTCCCCAGCGCATTGCAGCACTGGTTACCTCGTCCGCCTGCTCTTACCTTGTAGTCCAGGTTGGGAGGGATGAGGAAGCCCGGCGCCAGGTACGTCTCGCCCTCCAGCATCTCCACGCGGATGTACTCGCTCAGGTAGGTGCGGCACAGGCGGCGGTCCCAGTCGTCCGTGATGTGGCCGCCGTACATGATCTCCCCAAAGAGGTAGCGGAGGTCGTCCCAGGGGACCTGGACGGAGACGTGTGCTGAGAGGGCGCTGCACGCCGTGCGTGTGCACGTGTGTGTGTGTGTGTGCAGATCGGTATATCTGTGTGCATGCATATGTGTATCTGTGTGCACATGTATGTGCATGTGTGTGTATGTGCACCTGTGTGTATCAGTGTGCATTTGTGCACACCTATGTGTATCTCAGGGCATGAGGAGAAGACAGGCCGTGTCCGACAGGGTTTCTCTTCGGTTTGCCCAGATTCCCCACGCAGGCGCAGCCGTCCCTGCGTCCCATCCCACGCTCCGGCATCCCCCTTGCTCAGGTAGCTGCTGAGCCCCGGGTTGAGCAGCAGCCTCGTCCAGCTACCGAACAGGGTGGCACCGACGTGGGGCTCGGCTGTAGCTGTCCCTACCTTGGGGTTGGCCTCCAGGTAGTTGTAGAGCACGTTGATGGATATGGTGAGGTCGCCGTTGTTGAAGGGGTAGGAGCGGTTCCAGCCCTGCGCCCCGAACTTGCGCCGCTCGGCCACCACGGCGTGGAAGTAGCAGAGTGCGAACAGGATGCACTTGAACTCGATCTCCCTGCTGCACATCTCCAGCGTGTCCTGTGCGCAACAGCGGGAGGGAGTGGCATCCGGGCAGCCGCACGGCAAAGAAAACCGGCAGGGACCCGCAAGGGAATGGGAAAGCAGAGCCCAAGGTCATTTACTAAAACAGATGCAGAAAGTTCTGGTTTTAAGGGGCCCCAAAGCGCAGCCCACAGACTGCAGAGCTGCTGGTGCTGCTGGCAGGGAGCTGCTGTGGCGATTAAGAGCCAGGAAAAAGACCCATGGGCCAAGCAGGGGCTGCAGAAGGTGCAGATCAGGGGTAGAAACGCACGAGAAGAAACCAACTCTGCAGCGCAACATGTCCCAGCCCACAAAAGCGTGGCAGTGGCGTGGGTACCTGCGTGAAGAGGTCCAGCGCCTTGTGCAGGTTGGCGTGCATGCCGGTGGGCGGCTCGTTGGTGATCTTGATGGCGTTCTCCAGCAGCCCCTGCGGGATGATGTGCGTCTCGGGGCTGGGCGCCGGCTCGGCGCTCATGAACACCCTGTAGTCCGCGTGGCTGCCCGTGCTGTAGCGCTCCACCTTCTTGTCCAGCGTGCTCAGCCACCTGGCTACCAGGTGGATGTTCTGCAAGGGGAAGCTGCCTCTTGTCTCCGCTCCTAAGGGCTGCTCTCAGCCGCCGTGTCCCCGATTCCTGGCGCGCCTGCAGTAGCCTCTGCGGCACCACTTGCTATTGCTCAGGCGGCGAGGCCCCACGGACCATTGCTTTGATAGTTGGTACGGGGGGCACAGGAAACCACCCCCCTGTGCCCCTGGGGAGCTGTTCAGAAGGAAGGGCTGGCGCTGGGGCTGCCGGCACGGCAAGCAGCGCCGCGCAGCACCCAGGTACCTGCAGAATGACCCAGTGGCCCTGCTGGGAGGCCACGTCCAGGGCGTTCTCTGCCACGATCTCCTGGCCTTGCCCCAGCGACACGTTGTGGATTTTCCCATTGTCAATGGTGAAGTTCAGCTTCTTTCCTGGGAAGAGGAGGAGAAGAGCCACGGGATAAGACACCTTTTCTTTTAGTGGTAACGTGGAACACGCAGTCACACAGCTCCTGCTTTCACCGAGACCACGGCACACAAGGCCTCTGTGAGCCGAGCAAAGGGCATCTGCTTACCCAGAGCTTCCACGTCCTTCAGCGGGTCGACGCCGGGCGAGAGGATGAAGAATATGGCCGTGGACGGGCTGCTCTCTTCATAGGACTTGGCAAACTCCACGCTCCTGCCTTCCACAAACTTGCTGCCCATCTTCTCCTCCACAAAGTTCCTAGGAAGAGGCCACGGTGCGCGTCAGTGAGGCGGGCGCGCGGGCGGCCGCGGCGCCTCCGCGGCGGGCACCTCACGGCGTAGGTCATGCGGTCGGGGCGCATGCAGCGCAGCATGCACAGCTTCTGCAGCGCCGTCTTGTTCTTCCACTCCTTGGGGAACACCTCCTTCTCGGGCGTCTCCGACTCCACAAACTTCTTCCAGCGCTTTGCCGATCCCTCGATGTCGCTGTCCAGGTTCTTGAACTCGTCCATTTCCGAGAGGACCTTGGGGGCCGGCAGGAGAGATCACTTGTCCCACAGGCCCTGCCGCCCCTTGGGGATTCAGGGCTCTGCCACCACGGCAGAGCTGCTGGCTTGGAGCAGCCCGGCCACATGTCTCCCAGGTGGCAGGAGCTCATGGTGCTGGGCACACGAGGTGGCAGGAGCTCATGGTGCTGGGCCTGGCCCAAGGTCTCCCCATGTCCTCCGGGCTGCTCCGTGGCTGGGGCCGCGTCACCAAGCAGCCCGACGGGACCAGCCCTACGTTACGCGACCCACCTTGATGCCGCCCCAGCCCTGGGACTGCAGGAAGTCCACGGGCGACGTGACGCCGGCCTTGAAGGGGAAGCGCAGCAGGAAGTCCAGCTCCACTGGGTTCACCTCCTTCTTCACCGTGAGCACCTGTCGGGGCTGTCGCTGTCACGGCTGCCCGGGGCCCGGGTGGCGCACGCCACGCGTGCGGGACGGCCGCGGGGCGCAGTGTCACCCGGCATGGTACCTGGAAGGCCACCTGCGCCAGGAAGATGAGCTTGTCCTTCTCGAAGAGCCCCCGGGCCGTGTACATGAAGACCGAGTAGGTGATCTCGTCCGTGAGGTTGACCACCCGCTGCCTGACCTCGTCGGCCGGGCTGGTGCGCTGGATGGCCTTCTCGAAGACCACGTTGAAGGCCTGGGCGGGCAGTGGCTCAGCACGGCTAGTGACCCGGCAGCGGCCCAGCCCCGCACTCCTGGGCCCCGGCTTTGGCTCTACCTTCAGGGAGAACTGGTAGATGGGGTTGATCTTGTTGAGGTCGCTCAGGATGAAGTAGAGCAGCGAGGCTCTTTCCGCTGCCGGCCGGTAATGTTCTCTGGCGACATTTATCTGCATTTCGGTGACCTTGGCTTCCTTCACCTGGGGGAACGCGCACAGGGACGTGTTGGCACCGCCGCCCTGTGCTCCTGGTGCTGCCAGTGCGCAACGCGGAGCAGCGCCCACCTTCTCCTCGATCTCCATGGCCGTGCGCTTCGTGGTCTCCAGGTTCTCCACCAGCGCCGTGTCTCCCAGGAAATCCCCCGACGCCGCGGAGAGCCGGGCGAGCAGCGAGTCCTCCAGCTCCTTCAGGTTGATCTTGAACTCGTTCTGGCTCTTGGTGAGATTCGCCTGCACGGCGCGAGCGCCGCGGGTCACACGGGCCTGCGGGCAGCTCCTGGGGAGCAGCAGAGCCGGCCCCGGCTCCTCGGCTCTCCACTCGCGCCCGGCCTTCCAAGCACACAAGTGCTGGTGCTGCGGGTGGCTGCAAGGCGCCGGTACCTTGCAGGTACCCCCGGCGGTACCTTGAGGCTCTCCAGGTCCGGGCGCTCCTTGGCCACCACGGCGGCCAGTAGCTGGTCCTCCAGCCCGTCGCGTGTCACGAGGAAGTTGATGAGCGTGCACTGCGCCTGCATCTCCGGCTTGTAGTGCGGGTTGAAGTACTTGGTGTGCAGGATGAGGCGGAAATGCGGGTGATACTCCACCTCCTTGTCCCCTATCTTGATGTACCTGCCACACACGAAGACACGAGCTTCACTAAGTGGCATCTCATCCAGACAGGGCATGTGGGGAGGGGACATGGGCAGGGAGATGAGGGACAAGGCCACAAGGACAGGGCGGCCAAGCAGCATCTGCCCGTCGTGCCGGTCGTCGCCGCTCACCGGCCCTTCTTGATGGTGTTCCTGCCCAGCAGGTGGTCCAGCACCGGCTCCACGGTCTCGCCAATGTTCTCGATGAGCAGCGTGTGGCCCTGCGACACGGCCTGCTCGATGGTGTCCAGGTAGCTGCGCGGGGAGCGGGTCACGTGTGGGCACGGGATGCGCCGTGGGCACCGCGGCACGCAGGGGACGGCAGGGGCAGCACCCACTTGCGCTGGCCCAGCCGGATGGCCTTCAGCTCCTGCCCGTATTTGTTCTTGATCCACTTGATGCCCTGGAGCTGGGCATCCACGATGAGCGGCCAGCGCTCGGTGTTGCAGAGGATGGTGGCGTTCTCGGTGGACATGCGGTCGCTGGGCAGCCCCTGGTTGCTCCAGGCCGCCACCTCGGCGTCGTCGGTGAGCAGGCTCAGCGGGTCCAGCTCGGGGGTGATGGGGATGGGCACCTGCCGCCAGGGCACAGGGGCTGCAGGGGACAGCGCGGGGTCCCCGCGGCCCCCCGCCCGCCCCGCCGCTCACCTTCAGCCCGCCGAGGAAGGGGATCCAGTGCTTGTCCATGAGCTCAGCACGGTACTTCTTGGTGAAGTAGCCGACGTAGGAGACGAAGGCGGAGATGAGCAGCACGTCCCCGCACAGCGTCTTCCCCTGCGCCTGGAAGGTCTCCACGGACTCGGCCCAGCGGACGTTTTCGGAGGCCAGACCCCCGACCAGCCTGGGGGTTGGGGACGCGGTGGGGCTGGGCGGCTCCGCACTGTCCGTCCCCCCGTCCTGACCCAGATCTGCTTCACAAACAGCTCCCATTTGGAGGTGGGGATTCTGGCTTCTCCAGGCACCTCCGTGCCTTCCCAAGCAGCTTCCTGTGCCCGGGCAGCCACACTGCTCTTACCTGTTGGCTAGCGTGATGACTCTGTTGGTGGCATCTGCCTCTTGCTGACACTTGATCTTTTCAGCTGTGGCTTTCTCGAACTCCGCCGTGAGAGTGGCCAAGTTGGCATTGAGGTCCTGTGGGGGACACCGCGCTTACGGCTACCTCCTGCACGGACCACACGCCACTGCACCGCGTGTGCAAGCCCCGTGAAAGCTCCTTGCCGTGCGCCAGGACTGCAGCGTCCCCCGTGGCCGGGGACGGCCCGCGAGGGCGCCCACATACCGCGATTTTGTTCTTGATGCGGGTGAGCTTGTCCTGCGCCTCGGCCAGCTCCGCGTTGGCCTCCTCCAGCGCCTGCCGCTTGGGCGCCACGTCGCAGTAGACCTCGTAGAAGCGCACGATGTTCAAGCACCAGGAGCAGAGCCCGGCAGCGGCCGTCGACTTGGACAGGATGGACTCGGGGTCGAAATTCGGGTCTGACTGGTAGGGCCTGGAGTGGGAGAGCAGGGGGCCCCGCGTCACCGCTGCCCATCCCGCGGCGTGGGCCGCTCCAGCCGGGCTGCTCCAGCCATCCCGACTGGGAGAGGTGAAGGAGAGCGGCGCAATCTGCTGTGGTGCCCACCGGCCTCTCCGTGGCGGGACGTCCCGTGGCAGGGACGTGGCCGTGACTCACTTGAAGGCTTTGAGGCAGGCCTCAGGGATGTGCTCCTTGTCAAACTTCTTCAAGGCATCCAGGAAGGTGTCCACCTTTCCCATCATGATTTTTGCTGCTTTCCAGCTTTTATCCTTGGGGATCCTGCCCCCCGGCGCCGTCAGGATCATCACGGCTGCCGTGACGTTCACCACCGCTTGCGGCGGGGACCCGAAGGACTTCAGCTCCGTCAGGTTGTTCTGGAAGGGACGAGGTGGTGGCTCTGTGCCCACCGTGGGGGACTTGGCACCCATCGTCCTGCAAGACCCGGCGTCTCCTACCTTGTTGAGGGTGTTGAGGGCCTCCTGGGCGGCCACCAGCGCGGGCTCTGCCTTCGCCAGGTCAGTCTCGCAGGCACGCTGCTTCTCTGCCACGTTCTGGGACGTGGGGAGGGACGGCACTGAGCGGCGGTGCAGGACGCGCGCCGCCCCACCGCCCCGGGCGCTGCCTACCGTGTTGATGACCTGGACCTTCAGCTCCTCCTCGTCGGCGATGGCTTTCTCCTTGCTGACCTTCTCCGTTTCGACGCCCACCACGTGGATCAGCTTGTCTGCGTCCTCGTTCTTCTGCTTCAGCTCTGCCTCCTGGATGGCCAGTTTGGCCTTCAGGTCGTCCACCTGGATGGCAGGGGCCGTGAGAGCCGCTCTGAAAGTGGGAGCAGCCCTTCCTGCGGGCGCTGGCCCGGCACGCACCTGGGACGCCGTGCTCTGCAGCTTCATCAGGCCGTTCTCCAGCCGGTCGATCCTGGCGATGAGCTCCTGCCTTTTCTTGGACAGCAGGTTCTGGTAGAGCTTTATCTGCTCCAGAAAGGTTTTTGGCGTGGTGTAGTTATAGCGTCGCTCCATGGCCAGGTAGGTCTTGGACATCTCGTTAACGCTCGTGTGGACGAAGGACATGAACTGGCTGATGGAGGCCTTCACCTCCGGCTGTGTGGGGACACAAACCACGCAGTGACTCCACTGCAGCAGCACAGGCGTGAGGTGTAGAGCCCCTGCGGTGGGCTGCACCTCTGGGCACGGGTGTCGGTGCCGCGGGAGCGCGGGCGCGCACCTCGATACCCGCCGTCTCCTCCAGGAAGCGGCTGCTGACGGAGACGAGCGCGTCCTGGGGCCACTCGTGGAACCAGTCGATGGCCGTGCAGCTCACCACGGCCGGGAACTTCCTGGCGCGCACGCGCAGCGTGGAGCCCACGGGCGAGAAGCAGAGGATCACCTGGGCCGGGACACGCATGAGCGCGGCGCCCGGCGGCTGCGCTGGGCCGCCCTGCGCCCCGGCACTGCACTGCGCAAAGCAGCAGCGCCCGCACACCCGGCCTGCGGGAGCCCCTACCTTCAGCTGCCGTCTGACTTTTTCAATAAAGAGCTTCCAGCAGTTTTCCCGAGAGTCTTGCAATCCAAGGAACTTCACTTGCGGCCTCATGGAATTCATGATGTTTTCCAGGTCGTCGTCCTGGAAGAGCCCCGGGATCTCTCCGGAGGCCAGGAAGTCGTTGATGAGGACGAGGAAGGGCTCCTCGGCCACCTGCGAGTCGGTCATCAGGAAGACGGTGGGGATGTTCTTCACGGCGGCCTTGATGTACTGGGAGGCCAGGTCCATCTGGGCAGGAAGAAACCCCAGGCCCCGTCTCAGCGGGCACCGCGGCTCCGGCAGCGGGGAGGGCCCGGACCGGCCGCTCCGGCTCTTTGCCGGGTGGTGCCGCACGAGACAGGGGCAAAACTGCCCGCGGAGACGCTGGTGCTGCCACCGGCACCGGCTGTTCCGGCCTGTCCCCTGCCGGAGAGACCCTGCTCCCACCTTGAGGTCGGGGATGCCGTATCCCTTCTTCAGCGTGATCTGGAACACATCCAGGGCGCTGATGTAGGCTGCCAGCCGCGACAGACTCTGCTTCCCGCTGCCGCCCACTCCCACCAGCAGCGCGTTGCCGCGCGGCGACTCCAGGATGCGGCTGATGCGGCAGATGTGGGACACGGCGTCCTCAAAGAGCACCTGGGGGAGGCGGGAGGGTGGGCCCTGCGCCGCGCGCGGCGCCGCGGGACCCGACCCTCGGGGCTCACCAGGTTCATCACAGCGTTGACCTCGTTGTAGCTGTCCAGGGCCTCCACCAGCAGCTTGTTCAGCGAGGGCCAGTTGGGCACTGGCAGGTACTTGGGCTCCCCGATGCCCTGGGCAAAGTGGCAGTAGATGTTGGGCTTGGCGAATATCTGGTCTTCCCTGAAGTCCTGGGGGAGGCCAAGAGAGCGGCTGTGGTGACCGCCAGCACCGCGTGCCCCGAAACGCGGCCTCCCGCCCCAAAACGCGCTCTGCTTTCCCAGCGCCGCTTACGTCGAAGAACTTCTTGCAGGTGGCGGTGAGGAGGCGGCTGAAGGTCTCCTGGTCCTTCTCGTCGACCAGCTTGTCCCCGTACACCCGGCTGGCCTCATGCAGCCAGAGTCGCACCAGGTCGAGGGGCGCGCGGAGGCACTCGGGGCTGGAGAACAGCAGCCCCTGGCACACACGGCAGCCTGTGCTTTACACAGGGCTCCAGGGGCTCCCCGTGGGCAAGGCCCCTCTTTCCCGGTACCTGGAAGATGTTGGAGAGGTCGCGGAGGTTGAAGATGTAGTGGAACTTGATGGCGGTGGGCAGGAAGGTGGAGGTGACCTTCTGGTGCAGGGCTGCGTGCAGGAGCCGGGCTGAGCGGCAGGACGGAGCGGAGCCGCTGTGCTCGGCACCCGCCCTGCCCACCCCGATAGACACTCCTCCCTGGCCTTCAGCTGCAGCCCCGGGTGCCGTGTTGCAGCCCAGGGGGTGTCCGCACAGCGCGAGCCCCCGGGTGCCGCGTGGAGCTGGGTGCCTCGCTCGGCACCATGTGGAGCTGGGTGCCCCTCTCGGCACTGCGCGGAGCTGGGTACCTCATTTGGCACCATGTGGAGCTGGGTGCCCCTCTCGGCACTGCGCGGAGCTGGGTACCTCATTTGGCACCATGTGGAGCTGGGTGCCCCTCTCGGCACTGCGCGGAGCTGGGTACCTCATTTGGCACCATGTGGAGCTGGGTGCCCCTCTCGGCACTGCGCGGAGCTGGGTACCTCATTTGGCACCATGTGGAGCTGGGTGCCCCTCTCGGCACTGCGTGGAGCTGGGTACCTCATTTGGCACCATGCGGAGCTGGGTGCCCCACTCAGCACTCCACGAAGCCGGGTACCTTGTCTGGCACCGCGCAGAGCTGGGTGCCCCTCTCGGCACCGTGCGGACCTGGGTACCTCACTCAGCACTGTGTGGAGCTGGGTGCCCCACTAAGCACCCTGCTGAGCCGGGTGCCTCGCTCGGTGCCGCGTGGAGCTGGGTACCTCGCTCGGCACCCCACAGAGCTGGCTGCCCCTCTTGGCACCGCGCGGAGTCGGGTGCCTTGCTCGGCACCGTGCTGCCCGGCCCACCCGCTGCCCGCCCCGGTGCTCACCCAGGGCGGCCGTCACCAGCTGCGGCTGCAGCTTCTGCACGGCCTGCGGCATCCTGCGCTGCGCCAGGTGCTGTGCCAGGATGGCGCTGTAGATGGTCAGCAGGGCCTCCTGGCCGGGGAAGCTCACGGCGAAGACGCAGAAGTGCCGCTGCGGGAGCAGCGCCGCTCAGGGCCGGGCCGGGGCCGCCGGCACGCGGCGTCCGGCCCCTCGCCCACCTGCAGCCGCGAGTCGATGGTGAAGGAGCCGGCGGTGGGGTTCATGCAGGCCACGTACTGGCAGTTGTGGATGTCCTTCAGCGTCAGCTTGTTCCTGTCGTACCTGTGCACGCAGGGACGGGCCGTGCGCGGTGCCGGGGCCCCAGATGGGCTCTGATGTGCCCGGAGCGGGACCCGGCCCTGCTGCGTGAGCCGAGCTGGTGTCTGGGGACAGTGCCACCGCCACCGCGCGCCTACCAGTGCCCGTGGTCCATGTGCTGCCGGATGAGCGTGTGCGGGGCCACGGTGCCGTACTTGTCCACCTCCGGCATGTTCATGTCATCGATGAAGTAGATGAGGCGCCGCGTGCCGGGGGGGCCGTAGTTCCTGCCCGACTTCTTCTCCAGCGGCTTCTCCAGGATGGCTGTGGCGGAGGGGAGCGCTGGGGCCGGGACAGCGCCGCGAGGCCGGGGCGCCGCCGGCCCCGCTGGCCCTTACCCTGCAGCATGGCCGACGTGGTGTAGAAGTTGAAGGGCACCGACTGCACCAGGTAGTCGTCTGTGCTCAGCGCCTCCAGCTTGTCCCCCATCATGACCGACTTGCCCGTGCCCGCGTTCCCCACCAGCATCACCGGCCACTGCTTCTCCATGAGCAGGTCCATGAAGTAGCGGATGCGCACGGTCTCGGTCGTGTGCACCATGGAGGCCTGCGGGACATTTTTGGGTCAAAGCCGATGGGAGGCATCCCCCAGGGCCGCACATCTCACCGTGTCGGCCTGGCCCTGCCCTCAGCTGCCTGGGGAAGAACAGGTGTTAATGGGCAAACTGAAAAAGGGAAATAAAGACAGTCCCAGGACATACCTGTAAAGGCACCTCTGGGTCCAGTTCAAATTTGGGCACCTTTTCCGTCCAGAGCATGAATTTCTTTGTCTCGGGGTCGATGTAGTAGTCGAAGATGGTCCCTTGGGAAGGGAACTTGATGGTCTTGAACTCGTTGACCCACCACTTGCTGAACTCCACGCGATAGTCCACGAGCTGGAGGGGACGGAGGCGGCAGCGTGGGCAGGGGCCGGGCGGCGGGAGCGCGGCCGCCCGCGGGGACCCACCTGGTCCTGGAACATGGCCCCGCCGAAGGCCCAGGCGCAGGCGAAGACGAAGTAGAGCTCGTAGAGCTCGCGCGGGGAGTCGGGCGGCGCGTGCTGCGGTGTCAGCAGGCACTCCAGCAGGTACAGCGTGGTCTGGATCACCGTGATCTCGGGCACCGGCGTGATCTTCTTGAAGCCGAACTTGAGCTTCTCCAGGCACGTGGGCAGGTACTTATCGAAGAGGATCATCAGGTTGGCCTTCTCCGACTGCACCGTCCGCTTCTCGATCCAGCTGGTGACCACACTGCCGGGGGCAGCGGGCTCCGGGTGAGCCGGCTGCTCCGGTCCCAGCTCCGGCTCTGATCCCGGTCCCGGCGAGGACTCACGGGTTCCAGCCCAGGTCGGCGGGGTTGATGTAGAGGATGCCGGCACGGGACACGGTGGCCGGCGTGGCGGTGCGCAGGTGGCTGATCTCGAAGAGCAGCCGCATGGTGGGGTTCAGGGGGATGCGCTCGTTGCTGGCCAAGGTGAGGACCTGCGGCAGGGGACGTGGCACGCGGCGCGCTGCAGCCTCGCGCCTGCCCCGGCCCGTCCGTGCGGGGACGGCACCCACCTTGTTGTCATCCATGACCGTGTTCAGGGACTCGATCCACATGGGGTCAATGTCTCCGTCGAGGATGATCCACTTGGGCCCCTTGTGGGTGATGTTGGCCAGGTCGCGCATGGTGGTGGAGAAGAGACCTGCCCCGCGCAGACATGTGTGGCTTTTCCTGCCGTGCCCTGCCCCTCCGCCGATGCCCCCAGCACCTCTGTCCCCCCGCGCTCTTGCACCGCCCCATGCAGGGCTCTGCTCTGCCCCGAAGGGCAGGATCTGCACAAAGGCCTTTCGCGAGGCCGTTCGCTCACTCGCCGGCCGAGCTGCTGCTGGCTGTGCCCGGTGCCCGGCATCTCACCGTCCTTCCACTCGCGGGTCGATGGGTGGATGATCCCAAAGAGCTCGTCGCAGGTCACGGCTTTGGGGTCCAGGTCCACAGCCACCGGCTTGCGCTTCATGATCTGGTAGGTCTTGTGGAGGGATTTCAGCACCTGTGGGACGGTGCCACTCAGTCCCGCTCCCTTTGTGGGAGATGGGAGACCGGAGGTGCTGCCGGCTGCTGCCCGGCTCCCGAGTGCACGGTGAGCCTGGGAGCCCTGTGCCAGCGCCACCGGTGTCACCCGCTCTGCTCCTCGCCCATGGGGACATCACCCATCCCACGGGGCAGCACTGGCCACCCCACGCCTGCCAGTCCTACCTGTGACTTGCCGCAGCCAGCGTTGCCGATGACAAACACCGAGTGCCTGACCTGCAGCAGCTCCTCGAGCTGCACCACCTTCAGCACGAAGCTCTCCTCCGCCTGCAGCTTCAGCTCCAGCATGGACTGCTTGATGAGCTGCGGGCCGGGCGGGCGCTGAGCGGCGCTGCGGCCGGCGCTGCCGCGGGGCTGCCGCCCATCCGCGCTCCCACCTTCTCGAAGTTGAGGTCCCGCTTCCGAGGAACGTCCAGGGCCGGGAAGAGGTCTCCGATGAGCCCCATGAACACGGGCAGGTCGTCCGTCACGATCTTGGGGATGTTGAAGTCTCGCAGAGCTCTCATGAGGACCTGGTCCTCCGCGCGGCCGGGGTCGCCCCTCTTCAAGGAGCCGGCGACCACCAGCACGGACTTGATGGCCCGCAGCCCCCAGTCGTAGTGGTCCTGTCATGGGGCAGCAGAACATCAGCCTAGCAGCTTGGTGGGAGAGCAGAGCTTTAAGCGAAAGTCCGGAAGGATCCCCCTGTATCGCCCCAAGGCCGGGCTCGCTGCAGCCCCGCAGGCTCATCTTGGAGTGAGCTTATTTACAGGACGAGCCCCGTTCAGCCAGGACACGAACGGGTGCCTGTCTGGTTGCCAGGGAAGCACATTTTTATTTGCTTGTAAATCACTTATGCTGAGATGAACAACATCTGGATGCTCTCATCCTAATGGGCTGTGTTCTGTTCTATTTTTGCATGCCTTCGTGGCTTTCCGAAGGCAGAAATTTGCCATATGATGCACCAGCGTGGAGGTGGAAGGGAGCCAGCACGCTACCACCAGCTGGGAGGTTTTTTAAGCCTCTACTGAGTTCTGAATTCAGATTAACTCCTTCATCTTAAATAACCACAGAGTCGTGCTAAATTACCTGTTTGGACAGTAGCTCTTTGCACAGCGTGTACAGAGTAATAAACTTCCTTGCCAGAAGCTTAGCATCAATAAAACCTTCCGCAACAAGCATGATTTCACAGATAAGCTCGAAGTCCGGGACGACCATGGCACAGGGCCTGGGGAGAGCGGCGGGGTCAGCAGTGCCCGTGCACAGCAGCGCGTCCCCGCGCCCTCCCGCAGCCGCGCCAAAGCTGCCTGCGCTTTTCCATGCACATCCTGCAGTCTGCTCTTAGCACGAGCCTGGGGTCTCGTGGTGTCCTGCACGGAGCAACCTCCAGCTCCAATTGGGAGCATCAGAGCCACAGCAGGTCACTCAGGGCCTTTTCCAGCTTTTCCCTCCTCTCCTGCAAGGAGGACCTGGCTCGGACCTCCCTGCCAGCCCCCCTGGGCCGCCTGGGCGTCCTGGTGTCCAGGTAGAACAAGCTCCGCCGGCTCGGTGGTCCCAGGGCTGTGAGCCCCTCGTGCCCAGTCCTTCTTGCCCCGGTGCCGCACACCCCTCGGCATGAGCAGAGGGCGGTCGCGGGAGGTGGCACATGGGTGCAAAGGTAGCTGGCTGAGTGGGGACCCCTCTGCCCACGGTACCTGAACAGAGCTTTCAAATTCTCCGGCAGTTCCGTCCGTCCCGCGTAGCCGGGATTCATGGTGATGAAGAGCCCGACGGACGGGATCAGAGCGATCATCTCCCCCAGGAAGTTGAACTTCTTCTTCTTGGCGCGGATGGCATCCTGGACACACTTCACCTGCAGCGGCGTTGGGGGGATGGTCCCGGCATCGTGCACGGCTGCACGCCACTCGCCGAGCAGCGGCGCCCGACCCCACCTGCACGGCGATGACGGAGAGCACCTCCACCGCGATGCGGTTGAACTCGTCGAAGCAGCCCCAGGCGCCCGTCTGCGCCAGCCCCTTGTAGATGTTGCCGCAGGACTGCGGGGACGACGCGTTAGAGCATTGGGAGGGCTGCGCTCTTGGAAGCTGCTCCCAGGCTTTTCCCGCAGGGAGCGGAGACGTGCACGGGGCAGCGGTGCCGCCGTCCCACGCTATACCTTGTAGTCCATCTGCTCGGAGCAGTTGAAGACGTAAACCATCATGCCCACGGCGCGGCCCAGGTCCTTGGTGGTCTCGGTCTTGCCGGTGCCGGCGGGCCCGGCGGGGGCGCCCCCCATGATGAGGTGCAGGGACTGGGTCAGGGTGATGTAGCACCTGGGGCGGCGCGGGCGGCTCAGCGGGCGCCGGTGCCGGCGCGGCGGCGGCTGCGCGGGCGGGCGGGCGCGCGGCCCTACCGGTCGGTGAGCGGCGTGATGACCAGGCGCGGCGTGTTGCCCAGGTACTCGTACGAGTACTGCAGCTGCGCGTCGCAGATGTTGGCGTAGCAGTGCCGCTGCTCCTCGTCCCAGCGGTGCCGCAGCTGCGACTGCCACGTGAAGGCCTGCGCGCTCTCCACCTGCGGGCGCCCCGCGGGTTGCTCCTGGGTGCCACCACCCCTGCTGCCGCCTCCCGCTGCGCCCCTATGCGTGCCCGTCAGCGCGGTCACTCCTGAGCCCCAGGTACTTCCAAAACAATAAAGTCACAGGAGAAACTTTGCTCGGAAATGCTGAGCAGCAAAGCAATGGAAATCAGACCTTGTAACTCCCACCTTTGCAAGAATCATTTTGGCCACAACGTCCCTGGCATGAACGTCTATGGTGCAGATTGTCATGATCTTCATTCTGTCCCCTGCACTCAGGTTTCCAAGGAGCAGTGAGATCAGCGCGTTCAGCTGGTTGATCTGTATGAGGAAAGGATTAAAACAGAAAATTGCTCTGCGCTTTGCCAAGCTTGCCATGAACCCCAAACCGAGCCTGAGAGCAGAAGGTGGCTGCGAGTCAGGACGCGGGATGCAAACCTGCTTCTTGTTGTAATCTTTAATGGCATTTTCATATCCTTCCTCCAGCCTTGCAAAGGCAATGCCGACTTCGGTGGTCCACCAGATCTGGGTGCACGTCAGCGCTATCTGCAAGGCAGCATGCGGAGAGATGGGGCTCCCCGGGGCTGCCGGTGCTCCGTGCCCTCGGTGCAGGCACCAGCCAGGGCTTTGCAGGGGTCGTTCAGGCCCCGAGCAGCAATGCGCAGCCGCGGCCCCGCCGCGTGCGGCCAGCTCAGGGAGCCCTGTCCCCACCTGCGCCGGGTAGTCGAACACCCACTGCTCGCGCGGCTTCTCCTCGTAGGTGACCACGGCCTCGGGGATGAGGTGCCGCAGCGTGGAGCACATCCTCTCCAGCACGCGGTTCAGCCACACCTCCACCTGGGGGAGGCGCACAGATTCCTGCTCTGCCGCGGCTCCCTGTGCCCTGGCGTTGCCCCCGGCTAACCAGGACCTGCTCTATAGACCTCAGTGCTCGGCCTTGCCCCTGCAGCCTGCGGCCGTGGTCTGAGGGCGGACGAACAGGGGAGGCCCTGGCTGCAGCTGCCGGCGGCTGCGGGGCCGGGCAGGTTTGGTGTCGCTCTCGTGCGGCTGCGACGGAGATCCCGGGCCTCGTGGCTGCATTTCTCAGGCTGCGGCCAGGAGAGGTGTCTCCGGGCTCTCACCTGGCCGGACAGGTCGCACTCCTTGTCCAGGTCCACGTACTCCTCCTCCTTGCTGAACATGCCCAGGCCGATCTTGAGGGGCTTGTTGTCCGGACCCATGCGGAACTTGAGTTTAGCGAGGCTGTCAAACAGCTTGGACAGGTGCCGGGACACCTGGAACAGACGTGACAGGAGCTGCTGTGCCAGCACGGGGAGGGCTCCGCGTGTCGGCAACAAAAACGCCGCGTGTTTTACACCAGCGCCGTGGGGTGGCGCGGAGCCGCAGAGGATCTGCCCCTGCTCCTCGCAGCCCGGGGTACCTCGGTGGGCTCGTTTCCGTTAGATAAAATGTCCAGCAGGTCTGCAGAAGAAACAAAGTAGAATCTGGGGAAAGCCAAGCGTTTCGTCTCTAGGTATTCAGCCAGAGCCTTCTCGCACAGCGCCAATCTAGGAGAAAACAGAAGAAAAGCTGCAGTTTAAAAATATCATTATGTTTTACTGCTTGCAAAGTGGTCATCACCTTGAGCAGGATGTCACTTCGGCTGCTAGGGAAATTAAGCTCTTCTTTTGGCAGTGGAAGTTGCTTCATGGGGATTACTTGAACCTCACCTTTTCTGCAAGGCTTCTAACTTGTCATAGAGTCCGGGCTTATTTGTTGCCTCGATTACATTGGGGGTTTTCACTGCGTCTGCCATTAGTTCCTGCAGGAGGAGAAGCAATTCAGCAAACAAACCCCAGCAGGGCGACCCGGGCAGTGCGGGACCGGCAGGCTACTCGCCTTGAAATCCTTATCAATGGAGTCAAAACGCTTGGAGTCTTCCGGCAGCTGATTGCGGATGTCTTCGGAGCCAATGAAGATGCTCTCGAGGTGACTCCACGTTCTCTGCACCTCAAACCAGATGCTTATGACGGAGTCGGTGGTAGAGAGCTTCTGCTGCCAGCTGGACACCTCCTGGAGGAAGAAGGCCAAGTACTTGGACGTCATGAGGTTCTGCAGCTGCACCTGGTTGTCCTCCAGCGTCTCGATGAGCGCCTCGTCCGACTTGAGGAGCATGGTGCCCGTCCTGGCGTGGGGCTCGTGCTCGAACTGCATCGCCGACCAGGTGACGTCCAGAGCCTTCAGCACCTGCGGGCAGAGCGCGAGCCAGAGCGAGTCATCGGAGGGGACGGTCCTGCTGCAGGAGCAGGGCAGCGAGAGGCGGCGGGGCGCGGAGAACGGGGCTGAGCCGCGGCGTGAAGCGAAGTGAAGCGAAGCAAAGTGAGCCGTGTCGGCCCTACCTTCTCCATGCCCGACTCCTTGACGGCTTTGTCCACGATGCCGCGGACCTCGTCCTCAAACTTGTGCAGGTTGAGCTGCAGCAGCTCTGCGAGCGTCGTGTCCTCGGACATGGTGAAGTTCACCTGTGGTGGTGGTGGTGGTCAGCGGTGCCGCCCCGGGGGATGCGCCCGCTGCCGGGAGACGGACACGTCCCGTTCCGTCCCCTCGGGGCTCCTGGCTCCGACCAGGGCACCTTGGCTGCCTGCATGAGCTCGTGCCAGTGCCGGTCCCGGATGGCCGGGTTCTGCAGCTCGTTCACCGCCCGCAGGGATGTGATCATGTTCTTCACGCTGTTGTCCAGCCCGCTGAACGCATCCCAGCTTCTCATCTCCTTGTCCAAGCTGCGAATGTCCTTAGCAAACTTCTTAGAGTCGATATCCATCTGCTCCACGTTGATGTCCTTCCACCTGGTGGTCTTCCAGTCATCAATGCTGGTGTTGACCTGAATGTGGGGTACCTTTGCTTAGGTCCTGAGTTCACCAGGAGGTACCAGCACCAAGCAGAGGGCTGCCACACCAGGCACACGTGTGCTCCCCGCTGGCGCCTGGTCCAGAGCTCACCTGACGGTCCTGCCTGTGCCCACGTGCCACCTACCAGGACGATCATGTCCCAGAGCTCCTTGAGCAGCCGCACTTCCTTGTGACAGGCCTTGAGCTGCTTGTAGTCGGGGACAGACACCTCGAAGAGCCCGGCCGACGTGGACAGCGCTGCCATGTCGCTCTCCAGGGCCGCGATCCTCTTCTGCTGCTGCATGGGAAGAAGAGGCAGCGCAAAGGTTCGGAAGCACGTCCCAGTGCGCTGCCGGGAACTGCGAGCGGGAGGGTGCTGCTGTCCCCGGCAGGCCCTGGGCAAGGGGCCGGCCCCTGTGGCAGGGCCAGGTGCCCCAGACACGTGTGCACGTTACCTTGTTGAGGGACTTGTAGGGGTCGGGGTCGCTGTAGGAGAAGGGGGCGCATTCCCGGAACTTCTCACGGAATTCTTGCTGCCGGACCTGCGAGGGGCCGCGCGCTGTGGCGGGGCAGGGCGGCAGCGCGTGCCCCCCAGCCCGCGCGCGGCCTCACCTCAAACTGCTGGCACTTCCTGCGCAGGATGTTGACCTCGTTGGCCTGCAGCGGCGCCACGTTCTGCTTCACCTGGAAGGAGAGCTTCTTGGTGTTGTTCCACTGCTCGGGCAGGTCCTGCGGGGACACGGCACTCAGCACCGGGCACGGCGCCCGGCGCGCGCCCGGCCCGGCGCCACGCACGTGCAGCTGCTGGTGGATCTCCTCGGGCATCTCCTCGCCGTAGGTCTTCAGCAGCGCGATCGTTTCCTTCAGCGGCTCGAACATGCCATCCGTAGCCGCCTGCCTGTCCTTCACCCGCATCAGGTGGCCCATCACCTCCACCAGCCCGTCGTAGTCGCCCTCTTTGAGGGGTTTCATCAGGCCGGCGTTGGCTTCTTTCATGAAGTTCTCCAGCTCCTGCAGGCTGGAAGATGGAGATGGGGGATGTTGTGTGAGCGGACAGTGGCCACCGCCGTCCTTGCAGATGGCAGTGCACACCTGGGCATCCCCGCAGGGTGCCGGGCACCTTCTCCCGGCTCCAGGAAGGTGCCAAGGACCGAGACGGGCTGCTCCTTCCCCACGCTGGGTCCCTGGCGGGTCACCTACCTGGTGGTGACGTGGTCGCTGAGGTGCTGCTTGAAGAGCAGGCTCCAGCGCTTGACGATGTTGAGCAGCGCCTGCTTGAAGGGGCGGCAGTCGCCCTGCAGCCAGCCGCCGAAGACGCGGCAGTTCTCGAACCGCGACACCTCCTCGTAGAGCTTCTCGTAGGAGTCGATCTGTGGTGCGCGCCGGTGAGGCCGGCTCGGTGCCGTCGCCGTGCCCGTCCCCGCGCGCCCGCGCCGCCGCACCTGCTGCTGGAAGTGCGCGAGCGTGGGCGGCGTGCGCGGCAGGAACTCCTCGGCGTGCGCCTCCAGCTCGTCGGGCGTCAGCGCGCGCCCGAACGCCAGGAAGCGCTGCAGGAACTCCTGGGGGTCGTCCAGCCACAGGTAGGAGTAGCTCTCGAAGGAGGCCTCGTGCTCGCTCGCCCGCTTCGTGGCGCTCACCACCAGCGCCACCACCTCCTCCCGCATCTCGCTCAGGTCTGCCATGTCCTCCAGGTCGGTCTGCGGGACGGGCGCGCTTGGGGACGGGGACGGGCGCGCGTGGCCCCCATCCCGCCGCCCCGCGCAGGACCGGGGCCCACCTGGTAGTTGAGCTTGCCCTGCACCAGGCGTGGGATGAACTTGGCCGAGGCATAGATGTCCTTGAGCAGCCCGTCCACCAGCTCGAAGAAGCTGTTGTCCTCGGCCGCATCCATGGGCGGCCGGTGCCGCACGCGGTCCTCGTAGAGCTCCATGTGTGCCTCGAACAGCGGGGCCACGCTGGCCTGCAACACCTCATACGTTCCCCCTCGTGCCTGCCCGTTCCCGTTCCCATCCCCATGCCCATCCCCATGCCTATCCCCGTGCCCATCCCTGTCCCGGCAGGTCCTCCCGGGCATGGCGCGGGCCAGCCGGAGCGCAGGAACCCCACTGCCGGCACATCCCCATAAGAGGCTAGGAGCCAAAGCCAAAGCTGAACCTCAACGTACATCTGGGACCATGTTGCTGAGCAGGAACTGTAACGATTTCTGAATGAGCTTGAAGAACCCGTCCAGTATTATCTCGTCTATGTATTCCACGTAGTTCAGCCACTTCTCCGATGATGTATCGGCCTTAAATAGGTCAGCATTTTCCTGCAAGCAGAAAGAAGTATGCGAGTATTTATCAATAAATATGTCTTGATAAGGCAGTGGGTTCCACGGTCCATGTGACGCATCCCATGGTTATTGCAGTTGTGCCTCACAGAGCCCGGTGGGCACCCCCCGGCCCAACGCAAAGCATGTATGAATTGTGCTAATTTTGTTAATTTTTAATCCCCCTTGAGAGGATCCCCTGCAGAGCACTGGGGTGCTCCTCACCATCACCATGTTCTGGATCTTCACACCCACGTCCCTGATGGCCGCGTAGCGCTTGTTTAAGTGGTTGGCTTTCCCGTCCAGGTCCAGCAGCGCCGTCTCCTTGTTGTCCTTCCTTTCAAACAAGGGGCTGGCCGAGCACTCCTGCAAGGAGACAACGATGCTGTAACTCCTGCAAGGAAGCCGGCCGAGAGCAGCGCGGTTAGAGGCCCCAGCAGGTGTTTGTCACCTCCATGAGGTGAGTGATGTTTTCCACGTTTAGCTTTGCTCTCTGGATTCTGGTCTCCAAGTTGGACACGACGTCTCTCATCTCCTGGATGTACTCCATGACACCTGCGGGGACGGCGCGGGCAGCGTTCCCGCAGGCGCCGCGGAGCCGCCCCGGCCGCGGAGCCACCCCGGCCGCGCCGCCCACCCGCGTGGTTCCAGAAGAGGCTCTGCTCGGCCTGCTGCAGCTGCCCGTCGATGCCCTGCAGCTCCCCGGTGACCAGCGGCAGCTCCACCGACAGCACCGTCAGCCGGATCTGCGGAGCCGAGGCCGCCGTTGGTCCCGCGGCGCACGGACGGCTCCGCGCCCGGCTCCGCTGCCCGCAGCCGCTGCACAGAGCCGGGAGCCCGGCTGCCCAGCGGGTAGAGCTTGCCTTGTTGTACCAGGTGACGATGAGGTCCAGGTTGTCCACGAACTTCCTGAACATCTCGTTCTGCGCAAAGAGACTCTCAGCGCTGGCCGGAATGTCCTTCTGCTGCTGGAAGGTCAGGTACTTGACTTCCCGGAGGACTGCGACGAGCTGCAAGACACCGTGGCTGCTTAGTGCAGGCAGACACGTCCTGCACGGAGGGACGGGCATCGCCCCACGCGCAGCGCCGGAGCTGGGCCCGGGCAGCGGCCACCATGGACCCGGCCTCATCCAGGAGCACCAACCTCCCTGCTGAAGTTGACGCTGATGAGCGACGAGTCGGGGTCTCTGAGGATCAGGGGCTGCTCCAGGTTGAACTGGCAGTCCTGGTCCACCCTGCTGATCCACTCGGCGTAGGTCTTCTCCCGGTAGCCTCGCAGCAGCTCGATCATCTCCTCGTACTTGCCGGACACCAGCTGAGCCTCCGCACTGGCCATGACGCTGCCCGGGCCCCGGGAGAGAAGCCCGTGAGCCGGGAGGGACCCGCCTTGGGCAGGTGGGCGCAGGGCCGCGCTGAGCCCGGCTTACGGGTGGTCGATGGCCCACAGGTCCTTCCTGGGCCCCTCCAGCCGCTCCTGCAGCTCCAGCGCCCACTTGAGCTGCCCGGCCACGGGCGGCATGTTCTTGTTGATGGGCGGGATGCCGCCCGTGGCCGTGGCGGCTGCCACCTGCGCGTCGTACATGAGCTTGGCGTTGTCCAGCTCCGTGTTGAACATCTCCAGCAGCGCTGAGTAGTAGGGGGAAACCTGCGCCTTGATCAGAGGTCGCTCCAACAGCGAGGAGAACATGTGCACCAGCTAAGGGAGGGAGGGAAGGAAGAAAGGGTCAATGTGGCATCCACGTGCCCCGCTAGAGCCGGTGGGTGCTGCAGATGGCCGTTCCCAAGCGTGAGGGCTGGGAACTTGCTTGGGAGTCAAAGTCATTGAGCAGTAACCCTTAGGGATGTCCCAAGCCTGGGGGACGCGTGGCCCCGCGAGGCTGCCTACCTTGACAGCAGAGGCCATGCTGTTGCAGTCATCAAACCCTTGGCAGAAGATGGTCGTCAGGCGCCGGTCCAAGTCCTGGATTTTGGTCTGGAACTCGGCAAAGTCTTTATTCAGTTGCTGTCAAGCAGAACCAAGCGATTTAAGCAGCGGCAGCGGCGCGTTTGCCCCCACGTCCCCCCTCGTTTGCCCCGGGGGCTCTGCGCTGCCCGGGCCAGCGCTGCCGCGGTGCCGCTCACCTCCTCGGCAGGGTCCAGCGGGTCGTACTTGCAGTCAGCGAAGCCCCTCACGAGCTCGGCCACCTCCTCGTACATCTGGAAGACCTGGCTGCCGAAGATGTTGCCCCGCACGCCGCCCAGCTCCACCTTCTCCAGCTTGAGGAACTCGATGGCCGTCTCGTAGAGCTCCTGCGGGCGCGGGCAGCGTCAGCGGCACCCCGCAAGCCCCGCGGCGCCCGGCGCCCACTCACCTCGATGGTCCGCAGGCGCCGCAGGAACGAGTCCATCCTCCGGAAGGCCAGGGCGGGCGGGAAGTCCCAGCACTGCGGCTCCTGCCCCTCCTGGCGGCAGCGGCGCCGTGAGCACGCGCAGGGGCCGCCGGCCGCGCACCCGCGCCGCTGCCTACCGCGAAGAAGGCCGGCATGAGCTCGGCGCGGCAGGCGTCGTACGAGCGCAGCAGCCGCTGCACCGTGGCTACGCTCAGCCGGACGCTGCCCAGCGTCTCCTCGATCTCGCCCTGCAGGCCCTTCAGCACCTCCTCGGGGCTCAGGAAGTTGCGGGTCTGGAAGAGACCGGGGGCCCTTGCGGCGCTGCCGGCCGCGCCTGCGCTCGGGGGCTTCCCAGGCCCCCTGCCCTCGCTTTGCTGGCCCCTCGGTTCGGGGGCTGCCTCTCGCTCATCCCGGTTCTCCCACCCGACCCGCGTCCCCTGCAGCCCCGACAGCGGCTCCCGCCAGCAGCGCCGGGAGCAGGAGCCGCGCGCGGGCGCTGCGCCCTGCCGGGCGGTACCATCTCGATGAGCAGGTTGCAGATCTCGCGCAGGATGACGATGACCCTGGCGGGCGAGTTGTAGTGGCGGGAGCGAGCCCACACGAGCCCCAGCGTGAAGAGCACCCGGTCGATGCAGGGCTGCAGCTGCGGAGCAGAGCGGTCAGCGCCGCGGTGGCCGCGGGGCGGCGGAGGCTGCGGCGGCGCCGCCGGCCCTACCTGGCTGTACTCGGTCTGCTCCATGTCCTCGAGCAGCAGCTGCAGCGGGCGCAGGTGCAGGCAGATGTCGCGGGCTTCCTCCAGGCCTGCGGCAGAGCGGCCTGAGCGCGGAGCCCGGCACCCGCCGGCCATGCAGGGCCCGGCACCCACCATTCACAAGCAGCCCGGCACGGGCAGCCCGGCACCCACCGGACATGGGCAGCCTGGCACCCACCGGCCGTGTGAAGCCCAGCACCCACTGGGTGTGCGGGGCCCGGCACCCACCGGCCGCCACGTCGCTGAACACGCTCTGCAGCGCCGGCCAGTAGCAGCTCTGGGCGTCGCGCAGGATGTCGGCGATGGCGGAGACGCGCGGCGAGAGCAGCTGTGGGGCGCGGGGTGAGCGCGGGGTGAGCGCGGGGCGCTCGGGGCGCTCCGTGCGCGGGGCCGGCGCCGCGCGGCACCTGCTCGTTGATGCACTGCAGGTTGTCCAGGCGCCGCTGCCAGAAGTCGAACTCGGCGCGGGGCAGCGGGTGCAGCCCCTCGAGCAGCGGCTGCGCCGAGTCCTTGCTGAGCACGTCGCCCACCTGGTGCGCCCAGTCGATGATGATGGTCTCCACGGCGTGCAGCAGCGAGCTGTCGGTGGCCAGGCTGCGGGGCACCCGCGTCAGCGGCACCGCAGGGACAGGGGGTGGCCGCCCACAGCACCCGCGGCTCCCACCTGTCCAGCACGGTGCTGGAGCCCGCCAGGCTGTCCAGCTGCTCCGGCAGCGGCAGCAGCGGCTTCCCCTGGATCTTGCCGCCCATGACGAACATGTCGTTCTTGAGGCGGTGTGCGTGGCGCACCACGTCGTCCACCACCACGCGCGGCCAGCCCGCCACGTTGCCCTCGCTCAGGAAGAGCGGGTAGAGCACCTGCGGGCGGCGGGGAGGGAGAAAGGGCTGCTGCGCCGCGCGGCGCCGGGCGCGGGCTCCCGCCGGACCCACCTCCTCCACCACGGCGATGAGCTGCTCCACGGGCGCGGGGCTGATGTCGCCCACCAGCAGCCCGGCCTCGTAGTTGTCGCGCGTGATGTTCTCGCGCTTCCTCTTGACGAAGTAGACGCCCTTGCCCTTGAGCGCGGCGGGGAAGCACACGCAGGGCTGCAGCTGCCCTGTGGGGCCCAGCGCCAGCACCAGCTCGGCCGCCTCCGCCTTCTCGAAGAACTCGGTGAGCGCGGCCGCTGCCTCCTCGCTGCCCACGAACTTGGGCCACTTGTCGGGCTTGAGCCGCAGCAGCGGCGTCGCGAAGCTCTCCATGAAGTCGTGCCGCTTGTCGGGCGCCGCCATCGCGCCCCGGGGCGCCCGCGCTGCCCGCGGGGAGGCCAGAGGCTCCGCTCAGCCGGGCACGGCCGGAGCCGCCCGTCCCCCATGCCCAGGAGCTGCAGCTGTGCGGGAGCTGCTGGAGGAGCCTCACAGCCCCCCAGCCCCAGCCCCACAGCCCCCAGCCCACCCCATTGCTCCCTGCGCCTTCCCCACAGACCCCAACCCCATCTCCACCCCCAGCTCCTCCCCACCCTGCCCCATCACCCCAATCCTGGTCCCAAGGGGCACCGGCTGCTTGCGGCAGCACAACCGCCTCCGTACAACTGCCCACATACAACCGCCTACGTACAACCGCCCGCGTACAGCTGCCTGCGTACAACGTACAACCGCCTGCGCACCACAGCAGCCACCAACTGCCCCGGAACTGCTGTAACGGCCGCGGAACCCAGTGCAACCGCCACGGAACAGGGTGTAACCGCCGCGGAACCCAGTGCAACCGCCACGGAACCCGCTGCAACGGCCGGGGGGGGGGCAGAGCCGCAGCCCCCTGCCCAGGACCCATTCCCTGCTGGGCTCCGCTGCCCTTTCCGCCCAGGGCCGGCTCCGGTTCCCGCTCCCATTCCCGCCCCGCGGCGCAGGGACCAGGCGAGCGGCCGAGCGCAGGTTCCTCTTTATTCGCTGCAGATCCTCAGTACTAGTTTACAAGGCCGTGGCAAAAACAAAACAGAACAAAACAAACCCCGACTGCGAATAACCCCCGTGCTGCCCCCTCCCTGCCGCCCGGGGGCCTCTGCGCCAAGGCGCGCCATACAAAATAATCTAAAAGGAGAAAACTATACAGAAATATTTACACCTCTGATAAATAGACTAATACTGACGGGGAGCCGCTGCGGGGCTGGCGCGGCGGGAGCAGGAGCGGGAGCGGGGCAGGGCGGGCAGGGCTTGGCACAGGCGGCTCCGGGCAGGGCTCGGCCGCGGGCTCTGTCCTTGGGAAGCGCGAGCCCGGGCCGGGCGCTCCTTTGGGAAGTGTGTGTCCAGGCCGGGAGCTCCTCAGGAAGTGCCTGCCCACGGCCAGTCTCTCCTCGGGAAGTGCGTGCCCGGGGCCGGTAGCTCCTTGGGAAGCGCGTGCCAAGGTCGGCTGCTCCATTAGGAAGCGCACGCCGGGTGCGGGTGCTCCATCGGGAAACACGTGCCAAGGTCAGGTGCTCCACTGGGAAGCGTGCACCAGGGCCAGGTGCTCCGTTAGGAAGCGCACGCCGGGACCGAGTGCTCGGGTGCCGCTCGTGTGGTCCCCGGTGCTCATGTGGCCGGGGGCCTGGGACAGACCTGGCCCTCTACAACGAGGGCCTGGAACGGGACCCGCGCAGGACCCGCCTGTCACCCCGACACCGCTGGCTCCCGGTCCCCCAAGTGCTTGGGGAGCCCTGGGGCGCTCCCGCCTCCCTGCCCGGCCCCGGCGCTGCCCGCGGGGCCCAGCGGAGCGGGCGCCGGTGCCTGGGTCGCTGCTGTGCAGCGGGATCCCGCACGGCTGCAGCCCCAGGGACGTGTCCTGGGGGGCTGGACCCACCGGCCCCGGGGAAAGAGGCTGCGAAGCTGAAGCTGGGCCCCGTGCGCGGCGGGCCGGGCTGCAGCGGGAGCCGGCGGCAGCATGGCCGGGGCTGCTAGTGCCTCTTGGTGGAGGAGACCTTCTTCTTGCGGGCAGCCAGCATCTCGTAGAAGGGGTCCCTGCTGATGGCCGCCCTGCAGAGCGCAGCCCCGTGAGCCCCCGCCTGCCGCTGCCCCCCCGGGTCCCCAGCGGGTGCCACTCACTTGATGCACTTGATCCACTCCTCCTTCTCCTCGGGGGTGGGCGCCGAGATGCGGTACACGGTGTGGTTGCCCTCCACCACACGCCCATCCGCCTCCGTCTTGCAGGCCTTGATCACCTGGTCCTTGTTGTCGGGGATGTAGAGCTCAAAGCAGTTCTGCACAGAAGGGGTGGTCAGAGGGGGCTGCCCGGTGGGGTGACCCCCCGGGGCTCCCCGCTTCTGCCCCCCAGCGCCACGAGCCCCCCGGCCGCGTCGCAGCTCCCACCGGCTTCTTGGAGTCCTCCACCTCGCGGATGCTGAGGTTCTCCAGCGGGATGATGCCCCGGGGCTCCTTGTCCTGGCGACGAAGCAGGGCAGGGGGCTTCACTGCGAGGCCCTCTCCCCACACGGTCCCCACGCTGCGTGCCCCGCACCCCTGGGTGCCCCGCGCCTGGGATGCCGCCCGCGGCGGTGCTCACCGTTGTGTACTCGAAGTAGTAGAGGCAGTTGTCAGTGAGGATGAACCAGCGCCGCTTCCACGTCTTCACCCGGCCGCCTGCGGGCAGAGGGGGCGGTTGGCGCGGGCGGGCGCGGGCTCGTGCGGGCCGCGGCCGAGCGGCTCCCGCCACCGGACACGCGGGACACGGAAGCGCCGCGGCGGCAGCAGCAGCGCAGGCAGCACAAACCACGGCAGGGCACGAGCGAGAGCGCAAAGCGGACGGATGAGGGTGATGGCGGCGGCGCCACGAGCCCCCGGGGGCTGCGGCCGCGCGGGACGGCGACGCGGGCGCCACGAAGCGCCGCAGCTCCCACCCCGCGGCGGCCGCGGGCGGCTCTGCCGGCCTCGGTGCCACCGGCCGGAGACCCCGCGGGCCCAGCCGGGCGCAGCACGAGCAGAGCCCCCCAAGAGCCCCCTCAAGAGCCCCGCGTCCCGCACCGCGAAGGGCTCTGCTCCTTTCCGAGCCGTCCCAGCCGCCCCGCGGCGCCGGCCCACGCTGCTCCGCTCTGACCCACTCCATCCTGCTGCGTCCCATCCCGCTCTATCCTATCCCACTCCATCCCGCTCTGTCCGTGCCCCTCCTGCTCGGTCCCATCCGTCCCCTCCCTCCCTGCTCTGTCCCCTCATCCAGGCGGTGGCAGCAGGGCAGGGAGGTGGCGCCGGGGGTCCCTGGGGCCAGCAGAGCCCCATGGGCTGCCCCGGCGCGCGGCCACCGCCCTGCCCGCAGCCGGGCAGCGCTGCGAGGGGCACCCAGCGCCGCCCCTCTGCGCGCAGGGACCTCCTGTGTCCCCCAGAGCCGCACGATCCCACGGGCGCCCCTGGCCGAGACCGCGCGGAGTCGGTGCCGGCGGGACGCGGAGCGGCGGCCGGAGCGGGGCGGGTGGTGGTTGTTAGCAGCGGCAGCGATGGGGCTCAACGGCAGCGATTAAAACGGAAAGGAAAGAAATGAACCAAGCGCCAGCGGCGGCAGCGGCGGGTGCAGAGCGGGACAGGGGTACGTACCTCCTGGAGTTGGGGGAAGGAAAGGAAGAGCCAAAATCATGGAAACATACAAATGAGGGAGAAAAGAAAATTAAAAAAAAAAAAAAAAGGGAAAAAAGGAACCCCCAGAGATCCCCCCGCCCCGTGGAGCTGTGTGGGGCAGTGGGCACCAAGCCTGGCCCGGGGAGCCCCAATGCTCCCCGTGGAGCTGCAGCTGCCCTGTCCATCCGAGCAGCCCGTGGAGCCGGGCCCGGAGACGCCCGCCCGGCGCGGGGAGCGGGAGAGGACAGAGAGGACAGGGCTGGGGTCTCGCGGTGCCACCCTGCGGCGGGCGCTGCTCTGCTCCAGCCCGTCCACGACGGGCGACAGAGCGGGACCGGCCCCAGTAAGAGGATGGACTCTGGGGGCAGCCCCCGGCGCCAGGTCCTGCTCCGGCTCCCGCCTCCCCCTTTCCTCACCCTGCCCATGTGGAAAGGTCCCCAGCACAGGGAGCAGGCGCGGAGCGTGGGGCAGGCTTGGCGTGCAGCGGGGATGCCATGCACGCTGCCTGCTTGGAGCCAGGATGTGCAGGTGATGCCAGGGAGGGAGGCAGGCTCCGCGCTGCGGCGCGGCCCAGGCGCGAGGAGGGCTCCGTGCCGGGCCCGGGGTGCCACAGAGCCGGGCCTGTCACAGAGCTGGGCCTGCTACCGGGCCCAGGGCAGCCGCTGGGTGCACGGACGCATTCCTGGGAGCCCAGCACGCAGCACAGCCCCTGCTCTCTGCACTCAGATGCCAGGTCCCTGGCACCAAGTCCTGCCTCCGGACACATGGCCCGACTCCAGACGTGGGGACAGGCTGCCCTGCCGGCTCCGGCCATGGGGACAGGCTGCCCTGCGCCACTCACCCAGCTTCAGCAGCCAGCCCTCGCGGTCGGGGTTGAAGAAGGTGTGCGTGAGGTCGTTGCCGTCATCCTCAGGGATTTTGAAGGGTTCGTTCTTGATGCTCTCGTAGAGATTCTGACAGAGACGCGGGGCGTCACCCGTGTCCCCGCCAGAGGCCGGCTCTGCCCCGGCCCTGCCGTGTCCCTCACCCTGAGCAGCTCCTCGGGCAGGTCCCCGCCGTCGTTGATGCCGCGGTTCATGGCAATGAAGCGCTCGGCCGTGGGCTTGTCCTTGACGTTGGGGTTGTGCAGGCTGGTGTTGAGCATGATGATGGCAAAGGAGAGCACGTAGCAGGTGTCTGCGGACAGGGCGGCAGTGAGCGGCGGAGCCGGCCGTGCGCGAGGCGCCGCGGGCGCTGCTCACCAGTGCACTGGAAGACGCCCGGGTTGCACTGGCAGTAGCGCTGGGCGAAGGCCTCCATCATGCGGTCGATCTTCTGCGCCTCCCCGGGCAGGCGGAAGCTCCACAGGAACTGCCTGCGCAGAGAGCGGCCGCGCTGCTGCGGGTCCCGCGCGCCCGGCCCCGCACGCACCCTGCGCCCGCCGCGCTCACCGCAGCGCCCGCCCCGCTCACCGCAGCGCCCGGCCCCGCGCCCACCCCGCCGGCCCCGTGCACCCCGTGCCCGCCCCGCTCACCGCAGCGCCTGCACCAGGTTGAGGTCGGTGAACTCGTGCAGCTCCACGAACGCGTGCAGAACCTGGATGTTGAACTCGTCCCTGCAGGAACAAGGGCCGGGCGCCGTGAGTGCCGAGCTGCACAAGGGCCCTTCTCCCCCGTCCCGCCACGGGCTCTGCTCCTCTGCGGTGCAGACCCCGGGGCTGCAGCCTGGCCTGGGCTGCTCTGCACAGTGGCCTCCTGCAAGCACGCACGGCAGCTCAAAGAACCCATCCAGGCCCTCGGCAAGGGACGGACACGGAAACCTTGTGCCCGGCAGAACCTGGGTTGCGGTAGGGAGCCCTGGTGTCCCCCGTGCCCGCCGAGCTCGAGCGGCCACCGCGTCGCAGCCACCGTGGGCCCCGGTCTCCTTCGGGAGCACGGCCCCGCGTACCTCTCGCCCAGGTAGTCCCCGATGGCTGTCTTGTTGAGGCCCTCGCCCTTGTAGAGGAACTGAGCGATGTCCTCGCACGTGTTCTTCAGCAGGTCGTTCTCGATGAGGAACTGGATTCCCTGCAGCAGTGGCACCAAGAGGGGCTTGTGAGCCCACCGGCTGCCAGGCGCCCGGGCACAAGGCAGCAGAGCCCCCAGCCCCACAGGGCCCCATGCGCAGCCCCCTGCCCGTGCCCTGCTTGCCCAGCGCTACCTTCTTGGGATCCATGTTGAACTTCTTCCTGCCCATCGCCACCTGCTTGTTCCTCTGCATGTTCTTCCTGCAAGGCAGGAAGCCGCTCTGGGTGCCAGGGCACGGGCCGGAGGCAGCCGCTCGGCTCCCCTTGGGCAGATGCTCCCTGCACGTGGAGCTGCTCCGAGCACCCCGTCACCTGCCCCAGAGCGGGCGCAGCGGGAGGCCGGGCTGAGCGCCGCTGTGCCCAGCTGCGGAGAGCAGAGCATGCACACAGGGCTGCACAAACGTCCCCGGGGCCACCGCGGCGCCGCTGCCTCCATGGCCCAGCGGGGCCGGAGCGGGAGTGGCTGGAAAGGAGGCCGGGAGCCCCATCGGCCCCTAATCCTGCGCTGGCAGCGCCGGCCCCGGCCCAGAACAACAAAGTCGGGCAGCGTCTGCGGCCGGACGGGCCGGGCCTCGGGACAGCAGAGCCCTGGAGCAGCAGCTCAGGCTGGGAGCCCCTCACGGCGCCCGGATCCAAGGGCCAGCTCCCGCGGCACTCACCGCTCCTCCGTGGACCCCAGGTTCTCGATCTCATTCGTCACCTCCGCTATCTCATCCTTGAGCCGCTGCGGGAGGAGATGGGGCTGAGGCAGAGGCGCCTCCGTCCCCGGCGAGTGCCCGGCCACGCACGGGGCCCGCGGGCTCCCTTCCCATCCCTTCCCTCCTCTTCCCATCCCTTCCCGTCCCATTCCGCCCCATCCCTCCCGCACCATCAGCCCTGTGGCTGGGCACCCTGCGGGCCAGGACACGGGGCCATCCCCACGAAGCGGCGCCCGGGCACCAGCTCTGCCCGGCGCTAATCCCCCTGCGGCAGCACCGTGCAGGAAGGAAGAGATTCGGAGGTTAACGAAATTACCTCCTAATCCCCTGAGACCGTGCAGAGCATATGGCGGTAATTAGCGTCTGCCGCCTTAATCACAGGCCCTGCTGACGGCTCCCGTGACGCGAGTGTCCCCGAGGGGCGCCGGCCCCCGGGCGCTGCCCGTGGCTGGGCCTGGCCCGGGATGGGGCTGCAGGGCGCGGAAGGGCCCAGGGAGAAGCTGCTGTCCTCACACCCTGCCATCGTGTAACGGCCCCACGGGGACCTCCCGGGCCTGCCCCGGCCCTGCCGCAGAGCCCCACGGCCACTAGGGAGCAGGGCACAGAGCCAGGCTCCCGCAGCCGCTGCGGTGCCCAGCCGGGGCCCCTCGGGCAGGCTGAGCCCGGGGCCGCTCTGCAGGGCGGCAGGGAGCTCCGTGCCCAGCCCCGCACCTCCCCACGCCGCGCGGGGCCGACGAGGGACCCAGGGCCCAGCACGGGCGAAGCCAGCGTCGCGGCTCCAGGCTCCAGTCAGGCAAAGGGGCTCCCGGCCAGCCCTGCCTGCGTGCGTCCTGCAGCAGAGCCCCAGGCGGCTCGCAGCCCGTCCCGGCCGCGCACGGGCCCCTACCTGTATGTCGGCCAGCAGCTCCTGCTTGCGGCGGCGGATGTTCTCCAGCTCCTGGCACTCCTCGGGGGTCAGGTCGCTGGGCACTGCGGGCAGGGGGTCAGTACGGGCCGCCTGCAGCCCCCGTGCGCGCCCAGCGGCTGCCAACGATGCCCTGCGGCCCCGCACGGCAGCCCAGGGGTGTCGAGGGCCCCCGCGGCACGCGAGGAACGCGAGAGCCACGCGCATTCCTGCCCGGCTCGGAGCCTGCGCCGGGGCCAGCCCTGCGAGCGCGGCGCGGTCGTGGGCGGCCCCGCGACAAGGGCCCTTTGTGCCACTGCCCGCGCACAGCGGCAGCCCCCCAGCATCCGGGCGGGAAGCAGCCGGGGCTGCACGGAGCCTGGGCAGGAGCCGGGACAGGAGCAGGACCCTGAGCACGACCCCAAGAAGGGGCACAAGGTGGGCCACAAGAAGGACCCAAGCAGGACCTCGAGCAGGACCCCACGGCGCCAGCGTGAGTGGCCCCGCGCGCCGGGCTGGCCCCTCCGCTCGTCCCGCTGGACACCGTCGGGCTCCAACTCACCCGGCTGCTGCCCCTGGGCACGTTCCCGCGGGAAGGCGGCAGCGCCGGCCCCGCTTTGGGCTCCGTGCATCCAGCCGCGCCACGTCCCTCCGGCCCGGCCGCGCTCCCGCTGCCGCGTCCCCTTTGCCGGGGTCACCCCGTTCCCCGCGGCACCGCGCAGCGCCCCGATCTCACACGAGGGGCCCCGCGGCGCCCAGCCCTGAAGTTCCCTGGACGGGAGAGTGGCGGCCGAGGGCTGCGGCGGGGGGCAGAGCCCCGCGGGGGGAGCCGGGGGACGCGGCCGCCCGCGCCGGCCTCGTGACCGGCCGCGCCGCGTCAGCAGCGCCGGGAGGAACAGAAACCCCCGACGCAGGGGTTTGCGCGGCGCCACGGGGGCTCCGCACGGCGCCACGGGGGCTCTGCACGGCGCCGTGCAGGGCTGAGCACGGCGCCTCGCAGCGCTTCCCGCTGCGCCATGCAGGGCTCCTTAGCGTGACGCAGGGCTCCTCGCAGCGCCGCAGCGCTATGCACGGCACCGAGCAGCGCTTCCCGCAGCGTCATCCCAGGGACGGAGGCGCCGGCTGTCCCCCCCAGCTTGTCCCCCGCCACCAGCCGGGCCGTGTCCCCAGGCTGTGACACCGTCCAGTGCATGGCCCTGCACGTGCAGCAGCGCCGGGGACACGCGGCAGAGCCGGCCCGGCCACGACATCCCCCAGCAGCAGTGCCACGAGCTACGTGCAGACCTGGTGCCACGAGCTACACGCGGCCCCGGTGCTGGATCCCCCCACGCAGCCCCAAGCGCTGTCCCGCAGGGCCCTGCACCCCGGCCCGGCCCCGCTGCCACAGGGGCTGGCAGGGACGCGGGGGCTGCGAGGGCCGGGCGGCCCAGGGGTGCTGCAGGACGCAGCCCCACGGCTGACGCAGCCAAATCGAATGGAGACGGGACCAGCGCCGCTGACGCCCCCCACCCGAAGGGGTCCCGCGCGTGGGGGTCCCAGGAGCACCGCGCGCAGCCCTCGCCGGTGCCGAGGAGGGGCCCGGGCGCTTCCTGCGCCCGTCCTGTGCCGCCACATCCTGTTTTCGCTGCGCTCAGCACATCCTGCCTTGCGTCAGCACCGGTCTCGGTGCCGCGGGACAGGGCCTGCGGCTCCGCAGGCCCGGCCGGGTCTCCCCTGGGGCCCAGACTGCAGCCCCGTGCACCCCCAGCCCCATAGCCGGTGCCGCGGCCGACACAGCCCCCGAAAGCCAGACCACAAGGCCCCGGCAGCCCCGCGTTCCCGGCTGCCCCTGCCCGGTGCCGCTCGCCCGGCAGCCGTGACAGGAGGCCGCGCGGCGCTGCGGCCGCCCCACACGTCCCCGGCGCCTACCTGCGGCGGCGGCCGCCGAGGGGCACAGGAAGGCCTGGAGGCTGGAGGCGCAGAGCTCGCTCACGGTGCCCATGGCGCGGCCGGGCGCGGGGACGGCGGAGGCGCCGCGGGGAGACACCGGGAGCCTCCGCGCGCCCGAGCCCACGCGCCAATCCCGGCCAATCCCGGCTCCTTCCCGGCACAGCGACACGCGCGGCGCTCCCGGCACTGCCCGGCCGGCCCGGAGCCGCGGGGAGGACAGAGAGTTTGGGAAGTTCCCGCGGCACCGGCCCCCCTGGCCTGGCGGGTATTTTTAGAGCGGTTTTATCCCCGCATTAGCGCTAAGCAGGGAGCGAGGCGCCGTCGCGTAGCAACGGGCGCTGCGGGAAGGCCGGGCGCAGGGAGCGGGATGGGACGGGAACGGGGCTGGGAACGGGGCTGGGGTGGCTCCGTGCTGCCCCGCCGCAGAGGCGGCAGCCGCGGCGCCCACGCGGTGCCGAACCGGCCGGGCCGGCCCTGCCCGCAGCAGCCGCGGGGCTTGTCGGGGCAGGCGGCGGCGCCGGCACCGCCTGGGAGGCTCCGCACGGAGGCGGCGGAGGCCGAGGGTGACGGCGGTGGTGGCCGCGCGACCTCCAGGTTGGTGTCGCTTTCCCGTGACTCCTGTCCGGGCCACAGGGCCCTGGGGCTGCGCCGGGGTCACCGGGCCCTTCCCGGGGCAGCCACGGGCTCCCCCAGCGCCTGGGAACACCCCCAGTGTGGGCTGCTGGCCCGCCAGCCCCCGGGAAAGCCACAATCCCGGGATCCTGCCCGCGAGCCGCCTTCCTGCTCCGGCCACCCGGAGCCCGAGACACGGGCTCTGAGCGGCGCCCGCTCCAGCACCGGCCGGCCCTGGCTGCAGACACCTCCGAAAAGCCCCTGTCCCGTCCTGGGGGCCGGGTGCCCGGCGCGGGGAGGCGGGGAATCCCTGCCCTCCCACCCGCGGGATCCTCTTATCCCGGCCTCCCTGGCAGCCTCCCCGGCAGCCTCGGTGCCTCGCAGGGCGCTGCGCTCCCTGGCCAGACAGGGAGGCCCCGGCACAAGCTGCTTTGCGGGAAGCTGCATGAGCCCCGCTTAGAGAAATCCCTTAATCCGCGGCGCCGCGGGAGCGCTAATCCCGGAGCGGCCGGATCAGCCGCCCCGCCGCCCCCCGCGCCCGGGACGGCACCAGCCTGCGGCCCCGGGCGATCCGCGGCCCGGGCGCCCCGTGCACGAGCGGCGCTGGCGGAGCCGGCCCCGCGGC